TAGAGAACTTATCATGCACCGCTCATGTATGAAAGCGATAGTGAAAAGTGAAATTCCTTCGGTAATATACATGTGTGGACTCCATACCTAAACATGACTTCAAAGGAGTGTAGGTAGAGAGTTTAGACGGAAACAGAAATTGCTTGCGATTTGTGCATTTGAATTTTCGTGTCCACACGTGACCGGGCTGTAATGAAATGGCATTTAACATGGGATATCTGTGGAATCAGATTTGAGGTGTTCCAAAAATTATGGTCCCTAGATAATTTTCTACATCAATAGTTTACACAACCTTCTAATATTTTGTGTTAGAATAAAACCAAATTGACTATTGAGTAATATCTTTGACTATTCAATAGTCAATGGTAATATCATACAGCTTATCCTTAATTGCTTGAATTTCACTGCTTACTGTTTGTATCATTTGTCACATTCATTTAATGAAAGGAGAACCCCACAACCGCTTAATATTCAGGCAGTTTCAAGGTCTCAATAGATTACGACCCTATGAAGTTTTAATAACCTATTATTACATTTTGACATGTCATGCTCTTTTTTTATCAGAGTACGAATTATAAAATTAGTTCTCTCTTAGAAATTTTTGTTTGTGGTACCAGTCACATTTTTAAAGGTAACTTTTACAATAGAAATACTTTTGGTCTACGATTTAATTTATTTTAATTAATTCGTTATCTTCACGTTGGTGATTGTGGTCTCAGCAGCCAACTCGCCTCACTGTACAGTGAAAACAAACGTTTTATGAACGTGAAATATTTCAAAACGGAATAAAGTCGAAGGCAAACTTAGTATCAACTTATACTACTGTCGGAGGATATTTGTGTACGGGTGAACAAGCGGAAGATTACGCAAAACCCAGAAATTTAAGTATATGCTATACAACAAGGATGCAACAAGGGTTAAGCATTGTATTGGTATTTGAGTTTACAAATAAGAGCGGAGCGGGGTATTCAATATTCTAGTACCCTTTTTGTTTTGTACACATAGTGACCTTCTAAAACACTTTTGATCATATCGTAAAGTTAATTTGGTTTCTTTGTCATTGGGATTTTTAGTGGTCGTGTCGTGACAATAAAAAGAGCATAAATTAGTCACTGACATGGTGGAAGGAAAAAAACATGTTTTTTTCTTCCACCATGAGTCACTGATATATAAGAAGTCTCTCATACCACTCTCATCTGCCATTCATGTGGGTTAAAATACGCTTTGGCTTCATCTAACTTCACGTGATATAAAAATGTATATAGACTCAAAATATTTACTTAAAATAGTCGGTCTAGATGAAGTGTAACACTGAATAATCAGCCATCTTCAAATGTTTAACTTACTTAAAATTCAGTCATATTAACATTTAGAGTTTATTAAACACGACCCACAATAAAAGTTTATATTAAACCATTACAGTTTGGTATACTAAACAATATCCTTAGGAGGTAAGTTGGGTTTCAGGGTATGTAAGATGGCGTTTTTTATCGCTGTACTGAGTCGTTCAGTCAGTTTTTGGGTCAGCTCCTGCTCCGGGCGATTGGATGAGCCACAAACTCCAAACGAAGTATTGACTTATCAACAGACGATCATTACCGTAATACAATACGGAAACGGAACGAGCCAATGATGATACTCTCTCTGAGCTTTCGCCGCTGGCTTGTGTCTTCTGCCCGCGTGCTTCGCGTTCTAAATGTTCATAGGTTTCACTTGAACATGAGAGCTGGGATTCGGCGATGTGTTCAGAATTTACTGGTCTATTCGGAATAAACCGAGTTGTGAACAATTTGTTTTTCCTACAGTCACCCGACAAAGTTGGCTTCCTTGTACTGTTTATAGTACAGAAAGCTGCTAATTGCTGCATATTTATACTTTGCCGTACGGTTTATACTTTGTCGTACGGTTTATACTTTGCCGCACATCAGGATTCCAACGTAACAACACAAAACAGCGTGGTTCCATTATGCACGTAATCCGTGTACGCTTGGAAATAGGTTGGCAACACTTAAAGATAATTATACTATGAGCAGCTGATTGACTATTATAACTACGATTTAACCTGTCATTTCGTGTTTATAGTTTCGGTATCTCATCTGAACTTTCTGGACTTTTCTTTAAAACGTTTTTAAAACCTTCATACGATCTTACTTAATAAACAATAAAATACCTTTTAAGCATTTTTTTAGGCGCGGAAACCACTTCAAATTACAAAAACATACGGAACTATATTCTCAAAACGCGGAGCACATTTCTTGCTAAGGAAAAATAGCGGAGTGATATGGACCACGGGTACTACTTTCTCTAGGACACCATTTGTGTTGCCAGCTGAACCTAAAAACGCGTTGCATAGTGTTTGAAAGACTAATTATTTATATGCTTTATAGTGACTGTAGGAAAAATATAATGTGTAACACGAGTGAAAAAGGCCTTTGCTGCACTCGAGATCATTCCACACTCGCCTCCGGCTCGTGCGTAAACGTTGCTCTCGTGTGCAGCAAAGTGCCACTTTCACAACTAGTTACACAAATAACTATTGCTATTCAACAGACTTTGAATCTATGTTAACTACGAATCTATTTATCTGTTGAATATCGCTGGTCCATTTGTTTGAGGACCGTTGACCATGGATAGAACTAGTCATTCCATTCCCATTAAAAGCTGTAGCAATTTGTAGCATGTTTAGAATTAAAATATTGCCGAATTGGGCGGCCGACACAGTATGATAAAATGGCTGATTATTGTCAAATAAATCAATTTTAAATGGAGCCAGACTGATGTGACAACGTATTGAAAAACAACATTTTATGTCTCATCAACTAACACAGTAAACTCAGGGAGAAGATATTATTTTTCGTCAAACAATTTTAAAATTCACCCATAGAGAACCCCATTTTCTTGTGTTTAATATACATCAGTGTACTCAAACGTCATCAGCGTAAAAACACATAAACTTTCTGAAAGTGTATTCAGAGTTGAATTTCTACTTCTTGTGTAGCACTCAAGGGCGATCCCAGGGGGTGGTCATGGGGGTCGTGGCCCCCCAAAATCTTTTTTTTACAGATTATAAATTATTATAAAAGGGGAACTTTAATAATTTTCATTGAAAATCGTTCAACAACATTCATTGTAGTCTATAGGAAATATGACACACTTGTGGCTAACTGTAGGAATGAATACAGGCTCTAACCTAAAACTTGGAATCGTTCGAGTCTAACTATTTTTTGAACGTTGTGAGAAGTAGAACAGATCGGCAGACGATGGGCGCATTCAGTCCCGCATTTTTCTTCTAAACAATTTAATTCTTCCGCATTTACTGTTATCATTTAACTAGAGTATTGAAAACTTGAAAACAATGACTATTGGATAAAGAAGAGTTTCAAGATAATGATATAAAGAAGCTTATATTGAGGCAAAGTTTGAAAGGTAGTTGAATGTTAATATATCTGAGATAAACGTTAGGAATTTGCAATTACAGTAATGTAATTCAGTTACAGTATTACATTACCGATAGCCAATTTTAAAACTTCCAATATTTAAATAGTATTCATATTTTCTTAATAATAAAAAAGACCTGATATCATATTTAACAACAGCAAAGAGCAAAAACCAATATGAGAACACTGAGAAATTCTGTAGGCCAAATCTACCTGGTCACGGTGGCCGTGAGTGACGACGACAGACAACTTTATGTAGGTTAACTGCTGCATACTGGGCAGTTAATTCAGCCGTGTTGGGTGCAAGTTCTCAAACACTTCGAAAAAATAAGTTCTGGTTTCAATTTTTGGTCTGAATTTGGAATACATTTTCTCTTTTTCATGCACATCGGCACCAGTTGAAAGATTATTTTTGCAAATCAGTAATGGCTAGGAAATGTGTTGTATTTTTGCTGAATTCCTTCGATGTAAAAAACATGTGTTGAAATTGCACAAGTCTCAATAATGCAAAAACTGCATTGCATGTTATTTTTTATTTCTTTAAATAAACTGGAAAGCTTGTACACTTTAGGCTAGGTCAATTTAATTTTGAAGGTCTCAAAATAGCTTTAATTTCAAATTTAATTAAAAAAATATTTAAATCTAAGGTCGCTCATTCAAGCACATAATTTTAAGATTTTTCCCCGGACCCCCCTTTGAGCAAGGGGTGAGCCAGTTTCTAGTACAGTACAGTAGGCCTACCAGAGTTTTTAAACTGTGGTGAAATGCATATAAAATAGGGTTTAGATTTTACATATGGTGTAAACGTAAATTCTACCTGTAGTATCCATAGTAAATTATAAGTCTATTTAATACAATAAACTGGGTCGCCGGAAGACTGCCCCCCGGAAAACTACCCCCCAAGCAGGTTCCTACGTCATATTGACGTCAGAGACCGGGGGGGGGCAGTTTTCCAGTCACGGACACTCAAATTTAGTTGTCAAACAGTTCTAATCTAACCTAACCTAACCAAACAAACTTGCTGTAACATTTCGAAAATCGAAAATGTCTTATACTCACCACATGCATTTTCTATTATTCAACGGAATTACTCGAATTAAAATTAAAATTACATAGTTTTTCTAGGGGGGGGGGGGGTAGTATTCCAGTCGTGGACACGGCTTCCATATTGGTTAGTTAGCAGATTTTGTGACGTCACGTTTCACCTGGGAGGGTAGTTTGGGGATAGTATTCCGCATCCCCTCCCCAATAAGGGTCTTGCATTTAATAATTTATAAACAGGCATTAGAATTGTATTTTTAAAAACGACTTGGTGCTGAGTGCCATAGAATTTTATCAGTAGGCTTTATATCATAAGTGTATCAATGTTTAAGTACGTAGTGTAACCAAATTACAATACCTTTGTCGAACATATATTCAACGTCTCGCACTTACTTCCTATCCCATTTAATTCTTTCTACTGTCTACATCGCAGCTTCAGCGTAGCGTCGTCTTCTCCGTCTGCTTCTGCTTTCTGCTAGTTCACTAGTTCAGTTTAAACTAGCTCTAATGTCAACAAAGAAAGGAGCAGAATTAGTTTTATTATTTTCAAGATTTTAACTAATTTATTATTATTTATGAAGTAATACAGGAAAGGGTGGAGATGAGTCGGTCTTATAGATTATTTTCATTTACCACGGTAACTTATGTTTTCTACAAAACTGAAGGAATACATAAAACACAATTGAATCAGTTTTTGTTATCTAGGTTATGTAGTTTCCAAACTAAGGAATCTTCAGTTTCTGGTTCTAGCAATATTTTGAGTATTTTGAAAAGTAAAATAAAAACATCAGGTCCAGTAACAGTTGCTGATTATATGAAAATTGTTCTCACAAACCCTTCACATGGATACTATATGAACAGAGATGTATTCGGAAAACAGGGTGACTTCACAACTTCTCCTGAAATTAGTCAGTTGTTTGGTGAGGTAAGTTATGGTTTTATAATTAGTAAATTAGCCTATCCAACTTACCCTATTTTCTGCAACATAGTCAGTAAATTTAAAACGTTTCTAAAAAACTTTCAACGTCAACAATTTTGCAATCGGCTAGGCCAGGGATAACTTACTCACTAGGATTTCTCAAAGAGCCAATTGGTTTACACTTGTACACAACATTTTTCTCAGGGCCGCAAGCAGTGGTGACTCGTGATCGCTTTGGGGGGGGGGGGGGTTGGTGAATAGGGGTGTCCAGGGCCCTACCCCGGAAAAATAATCAAAAATACTTAAAAGCCTAAAGCTCTACAAGAAGCACATTTTTTAGGATTTTGTAATTTTTTCATAAAATATTTTTCACAACTTAACTTAATATAACATTTTGTTTTAATTTATTCCGAGGGCCACATGAGGACCACGGGCTGCGCAGTTCAGATACCTGAACCAGGCAATAAGGATAATTTAGCAATGTCTTAAATTGCATTCTTTCCAGGCATTAAGTGCGACTAGAATCAGTACCTACAGTAGAAGTTTTTTTTTCTGAGGTTTGGTTAAAGCCTTGACTTTAAAATCAGGCTAACATAAGACAAAATAAACTTGAACGAGGATGTTTATGCTAAAATAAGCTTGGGCTACACTAGTAGGGAAAGGAAAATTTTTAGTGAATTCTTTCTGTGCTTTTAAATGGAAGCTGCTATACTAGATGAGACACTCGGTGAAACGACACACCATGCAACAACAATTTCAGAGTCTGAAAAATCTTTAAAAGAGCTTTCAGTTAAAATTTTCTTGTAATGCTGATTTGGTTTGTGTCTATATTTTCTTCATGTCTAGTACAGCCAAATACAGTGTTACGATACCAATCCATAATGCACAATGTATTGGGTAATTTCCAGTTAGGCTATAATAACAGTTCGGTATTTTATTTGATCAATTTTTTTTACCAAGGAGATAACTTATTTTTTATTTTCTAGATGATTGCAATATGGTTCATCAATGAATGGGCAAGACTGGGTCGCCCTAAGCCTTTACAAATTATAGAACTTGGACCTGGCCGAGGAACTATGATCTCAGATATATTAAGGGTAAGTTTATTAATGTTAAGATTTGTCCATAAATGCTTAGGCCTATTATGTTTGCCTATTTCAAAGTAAATTATATCTACTGTAGTACATTTATTATTGCAACTGCTATTTTTAAAACTATTAGCCTATACTCAATAGAATTTTGACAAGATTGGGTTTTTTGGCTCCAAACAGTACCATATTACAAAATGAAAGTATGCTATTTTTGAAAGATACTTATTGCGTAGCAAGGTAATCTTGACAAGGTCATTTCTTATTTACTTAATTATAAAATATGTTCATAGACCAATTTACTTACCGGTAACTGTAAAATGTGTTCTTAGAGCAATAAATTCTTGATTTCCATCACTAAATGCCTAAATAAATGCACTTTTATATGCCTAAATGAATTATTAATTGTAATGGAATGAAGCGTTTGCTAAAAAATTAATAGATTTCTTGGAAATAGGTTTTCTTACAGAGATATGCGCCTAAAAACTCAATTTTTTACTCGGCTTTAAATTAGAAAGCCACTGATAGTGATTGGTTGGGATCTGCTCCTGGCCTGCATAACAGTCATCCCACACTCTCACCACCGGATCAGCAGTGCCCAAAGTATTTTTTAAATTATTTTAGTAAGTGATAGTAGGTTTGAATTTGTTTTTGCTAAAAGCACAATGGTGATAGCAGTATTTTTTTCCAGGTATTCTCTAAATTAAGAATGACAGACCAGGTGTCATGTCATTTGGTTGAGATTAGCTCTGAGCTTAGTACACTGCAGTCCAAGGCACTGTGTGAGGGGACCAAAGATTTGGATGATAAAAGTCCGTGTTACAAGACAGGCATGTCCAACTTCGGGATACCTGTCCACTGGTACAAATCAGCGGAAGACGTTCCTCATCAGTTTTCCTGTATTGTTGCACATGAGTTTTTCGACGCACTGCCTATCCACAAATTTCAGGTGAGTAAAAGAAAGAAGAAAATTTGATTTTGTGTTTAAACCAAAGACCAAGACCTTTAAATTGGTTGGGTAATATTTAAATGATGGCAAGAGACACTTGGTTCAAAAAATGTTCTTATCCAATGGTTTTCATCTTTATAAAGGCTTATGCTGCCTACACCAAAAAATTGTGAGGAGAATAAGAAAGTAGGCTTATGGGTTTAATTGGAACACCATACTATAATTAAATAGTAATTTTCTGCATTTGAGTTACATACCAATAACATTTTTATGTAGGGAACAGTACTACCGGTACCATTATCTAACTTGCATATTTTTGAAAACATCAAAAATAGACCATGAACAATTGACAACTGGCTTTAGAATCTACCTTCCGATTTAATGGTTTTGAGCTAAGCTGTTGTTTATATCCTTATGGAGGCCTAATTTTATGAACCAAAATACTGCCCTACCCCTTATGAAACATAAACCAAAGACAAAAAAGAAACAGTTTTGTTGCAGAAAACAAAGGATGGATGGAGAGAGGTTCTCGTTGACTTCGACCCAACTGATGAAAATAAATTGCGTTATGTAATATCACGGATGCCAACCCCCGCATCTACGATGTTTGTAAAGGTAATTTATTATTTTTCCTTGTACATCAAGAGTTTTAGTTTTAACCACAAGATGCATACAATCCACATTAACAAAGATTTAAGATAAATTTAGGCTTGATTTTTGAAACCCCACTCTTAAACAGCATTAGTTGACAAACTTGATTAGGTGCATTGGCCTACCGGTAGTCAAGTTGAATTTAAAGCTCAACTTCACTCAATGCTTGGTTTTGAAGTAGAATCAGGACACAATCAGTGCAGCATATCGAATAATATTACTCTAATCAAAAACAAAGGAGTGTTCATTTTCAAAATGAATTCATTTTCAAAACACCTAAAAGTAAATCAAAAATAATTTTTCTCATGTCAAATGGTTTAATATCCATATCATCGTCCCAGAAAGAAGAGACTCGAGAACATGTTGAGGTTTGTCCTCAAGCTGGAGTCATAGCGCAACATTTGGCTACTAGGATGAGGGAGGACGGAGGTATTGGTCTCATCATCGACTACGGACACTCGGGGGAGAAAACAGACACATTCAGAGTAAGTCTCTAATTGTTTATCAAAATTCACACAAACACCTATTCTCATATCTTATAAATAAGACTAAACAGTTTTTTTAGTCTCTACAGAATGTAGACTACCAATGTCACTCTAACACCTATAATCTTCTTCTGGTTTGGACTGAGTCTTCGAGCTGTATATAATTGCCAACAATTATGGCAACGTTGCAGTTTTCCAGCATCCAGTAAAAAGGTGGGTGTGTTGCTAGCCTAGTGATTAGCGTCCCAGTCTTTGGTGCAGGAGGGTTGGGTTCGATTCTCGCCACATCCACAACACATATGGGTTTGGACCCTAAAAGCCATTTTTCCCTAAAGACGTTATTTGACTGCTCTGTACATTGCCTCTCCTGTAAAAATGCCTCTAGAGTCGACGTAAAAGAAAAATAAGGTAGCCTACTACATCTACACGTGCTTGAAGATTACAAATATACATCTTTATCTTTGGTGAGATTGCAACCTAAAATGTTGAGTTTATGTCTGGTGTCTAAAAAGTCTTAGTCCCAAAAGTGATTGTTGGTCTTGGAATGTTCTGTTCTTTGAATGTGTTGATTTGCTTCTTATTTGACCAGACAATTCAAATATTATCTTTTTTTTTTAGCCTTGGCCACTTCAAGATATATTGGTATAGTTGCTGATTGTTTTGCATTGCCTTATTTCCTGGGGTTTTCCACTTAGGCAGTAAATTAAAAAGAACATTACTTGTGTTATTAGAAATAAACAAATAATTTCACCAATTTATATTTCACAGGCTTTTAGACAACACAAGCTGCATGACGCACTGGAAGAGCCTGGCACTGCAGACCTTACAGCTGATGTTGACTTTGGCTTCCTCAAGGAGAAAGTCTCGGATCAGCTGTTCACCCTGGGACCTGTCACTCAGAGGGACTTCTTGTTACAGATACACATCGAGAAACGCCTTGAGGTTGGTTCAGTACTCACAGTAATTGCCTTGGTCTCAACAATATAACATGGTTTCCTTTTGCCAATCTTGTGTATTTCGCTATCGCCTGCTTAGGAAGGACTGCTGTACTTCGTTCCACCTCCTGAATGTTGGCCTTCTCACCTTACCACACAAACAATACCGTACCAAACACTCTAGCATAGTAGTTCTCAGATTAGCTCTCTGGTTGCAGCACTTGTCAAGAATAGTTTTCAGCATTTTTTTGCTTTGTTCAAACCAGTGTATACTTAAAATATTGGTTTTCACTGTTACCTACTCTTTTCAGCTGTGCTACTTAACCAATTTTCAAGATTGAGGTGTCATTTTAAAGCTTATAATGGGCGCATCTCCGAGGGATAACTAAAAAGTTGATATCGTTTAAGGCCCCCTCAAGCTTAATTTATTCCTAGAGTCCATTTTCAAATACCCAGTTTATTATAGTGGATTGTAATAAAGCTGTTTCTTCGGTTGCATGTTTAACCAGTTAGATTGTAAACAAGAGGCTTTAACAGTAACCTATACCATAATCACAATTTTGAGCTAGACTGAAAGCTACAAGTGATACTGTATTAATGTTTTGACGTTTAATTTAATCTGTTGAAATCTGTTTTGAGTAGACTCGTCCTGTTCACAGGTGCTGTTAAAAAGTTGTAAAGATGAAGAAAAGAAGGCCGAGCTCAAGAGTGGATTTTCAATGATAACTGATGAAGACAAAATGGGAAACTGTTTTAAGTTTTTTGCACTTTACCCACTTGTGCTCAAGAACTTTCTTCTAAAACTCCCGCCTCCTGGGTTTATACCGCCCGAGAAGCTTTCTCTCCTTGAATAATCTTTTACCTAAGATTAGTCACTGTACCTGAGTGAATTTGTTGCATAGGGTCCTAGAAGATAATTTCCAAAGGTAAAAATGCCAATGATACAATTTACAAAGCTGTTCCCTAAAAATAGCTTCAGGGGGATATTTTTGTTCTGCTGTATTTGGTTCTGTTTCTTATATGAGCTGCACAATGCCCAAGTCAGTTTAAGTAACAGAATCTATTATAGGAAATTGTATTGAAATATACAATTGTCTTGTTAATTAGTTAAGTTGGCATGAAAGTAGTGTTTTATAAAAATAGATTCAGTGTTGCCACTTTTGACTATTAACCCTTTCAATTTTTGCAAAATAGAAAAAAATTCAATTTTGACTTGGCTGAAACAGCCCAAAAATCTACAATGGACGTTGCAGCACTTGCCTTACGCTGTTAGGTATTTGATGTGGGACTCTTTATGTGATACATACACCTGAGTTTATATTTTGTTACAAAGTCGAAAGTGATATTAAATTGTTTAAACTTGTATTTCAACTGATTTTTCTTTACCTAAACTTAATCTGACTACTGTGATAGGTTGTTTGTAGAAGTCCCGGGGATTGAGCAGGGGTAGTTTTTGCGTGTTGTCTAGGGGCGGTTTGAAGGGGCAGTTTTAGGAGTAGTTTTTGTGTTTTATGGTTTGTTTCAGTAGCGGCTAGCCCATAAGGACTCTCGGACGCCGCCCTCCCAACAATACAGAAATCAGTATTTTTTTTATTTATGTAATAAAAAAATAATATGTCGTAATTAAAATTAAATTACAATTACTTACGACTACTTAATCAATATGATAATAATATGAAATGAAATAGTTTTAAATTTTGAATCCAGTAATGACTGTTTTGCGATAGTCGCTTTCATAATGTGGATTGCGGACGGCGGCAACCTCCGTCCCAAACTCAATGCATGTAGTCTTATGGTAGAAACACCTAACAGCGCTGAGGGTGCCGTGACGTCATTCCAATGCTTTACAATAGGGACTCTGGGGCAGAGTCCAAAGCTGCGCGCGCATCCATAAATCAGGGCAGCCACCCTAAACTGGATAATTCTGCATCACACACGATTAGGATAGGAAGAACCATGTTGGCAGCGCTGGAGCCATCATCCACACTGTCACTACCATAAACATTAACTAACCTCACTTCTTTCCATGTCCATGACCACAGTTCAGTTATAGTTTAGTGCCAAACGACCTGTTGTTTTGTGATCAATAGTGTTTAGTGATAGTGATGGAGGCGTAAGGAAGGCAGCGGTAGTTTGTTGAAGATTGAAAGAGCTAAGTAGAAATTATTAATAGTTATACTTAATTGATTGAGTTAGTTAGTTGGTATCTTTGAGTCAATAAGTTACGTCTGTAGTTTTAGTATAGGCTAACCTAATCAACCCGAAAACTAAGTAGACTAGCCATAGGTAAAGTGACTCGGACAATTTTAGTTATAGTTACTTATTATTAGTCTTAATAAGTTATTACGGGTAAATTTGCCGTGGGTTGAAGGCCTAAATCTAAATAATAATGGACGGCGGCATTTCGTTGTCGTCGACGGCTAACGTCACTAACGAAGTTAGCCTGATTATCAATGAAGGGATCAAAAATATTGACCACAGAATTTCTTTGAAAAAATTAGGACCTCCTAGACCTTTCATGAACATAAACCAAATTCAAAACAGTTCAAAGAATAAGAATAGCTTCACACGGAAATTTTCGCCACATATGTACAATCATGCAGATTGGCTATGTGGTTGTTCAATTAAAAATTCATTTTTCTGCTACACTTGTTTGGTCATGGGGGTTCAAGATAGAGCATGGACTGTAGACGGCATTTCAGACCTTAAACATCTACTGGAAAAAGTAAAAAAACACAAAACAAGTGAAAAACACATAAATGCGTCAATAGAATATGCTGTTTTAGGTAAAGTTGATATTAGATGCCAATTGGACAATGCATATAGGTTAAGAATACAAAAACAAAATGAAGATGTTTCGAAAAATCGATACATTCTAAGTAAGCTAATTGATGCAATTAAATTTTGTGGAGCGTTTGAATTAGCATTACGAGGACATGATGAACGCGAAAATTCAAAAAATCCTGGCATATTTCGTGGTTTGGTTAACCTTATGGCGGAGCTGGATGTAACATTGCAACAGCACATAAATCAAACAAATAACCGAGTGTTTTTGGGTCTGTCTAAAACCATACAGAACGAGTTATTGGACTCAATATATTACGTTTGTCTGCAAATGATTCGTGACGAATTGACACAAACCGACTATGTTGCTATTGAAGCCGACGAAACAACAGACTGTGCCACTTTATCCCAACTAGTATTTGTTATTAGGTACGAGCTGAATGGCACGATTCACGAGCGATTTATCACTTTTATTAGACCAAAAGGCCATGATGCAGAATCAGTTAGCGAAACAATTTTTGAAGTATTAGAGCAATTAAACCTCGACAAAACTCCTGATAAAGTCATTGCCCAGAGCTACGATGGGGCTTCCGTAATGAGTGGCCAACACACGGGAGTACAAGCGCGTGTAAAATCTAAATATAAGAATGCAAATTTTGTCCACTGTTACGCACATCAATTAAACTTAATCATTGAACGCAGTGCTACACAAAATAAGCAGGTTAAGATATTCTTCAGTAATATCGAGGGGTTTTCATCATTCTTTTCCCAGTCAACAAAGAGAACTGCAGTTCTCGATGAGATAGTAAAACGTCGTATTCCAAAAAGCTCAGGTACTCGGTGGAATTTTAAATCCAGAATTGTAAGCACAATTTTTAATTATCAAAGAGAGTTGGAGGAATGTTTAAGTTACATACTCGACGATGACACCAATGACTATGCCACAATAAATAAAGCTGTTGGCCTAAGAAGTATTCTAAAAGACGAAGACTTTATTTTCTGGCTGGACTTTTTCAATCAAATACTGCCCCACAGTGACATTCTGTACAACCAACTGCAGCAAACAACAATTGATTGCGTCAAGGCGTTTAAGTTTGTCGGCGATTTCAAAACTGTGGTAGATCGCGTAAGAAACTCGACCATGTTAGATCAACCGAGAGATAGTGAACCCGAATCGAGCAAAAAGCGGAGAAGACACGACGATCAAAAACGCGTCGTCGCAAAGGAAGTGTGTGACATAATTACGTCGGGAATTGATGACCGTTTTACGTTTGTGAATCATTTGTCCGCGGCAAAACTGTTTCAGCCAAGTTTGTTTGGGGAGTTTAAAACCAAGTTTCCCGAAAAAGAGTTACACGCTGCTGCGGAACTATTTAGCCTAAATAAAACTGAATTGAAACAGGAGTTAAATGTTATTTACAATAGGGATGATTTTTCAACGGCCACAGGGTCATTAAGACTTCTCAACTTTGTCTATGACAACAACCTCAAAGATGTGCTTCCAGAGTCAATCAAACTTTTAAAAATCATAAGCACAATACCTATGACTACTTCGGAAAGTGAACGTTGTTTCTCTACTTTGAAACGAATTAAAACGTTTACCAGGAGTACCATGAAACAAGACAGACTAAGTGCGCTTGCTATGTGTTCTATCGAAAAAAAGCTGTTGTCAACTTTAAACTTCAACGAAAAAGTAATAGATCACTTCGCCGGGCAGAAAGAAAGGAGGATGGATTTCACATTCAAACAGTACAATTAAAGTTAGGCCTTATCCTCATGGTATGGTTTTCTACTCATATTGCCGTGGATGTTTTAATATAAAATACAATTAGTCAAGCCTTACCCTCATGGTTTGGTTTTCTATTCGTTATTGCCGTGGGTGTTTAAATTATACAATTCAATCAATGTCAGGCCTTACCGTTTGGTTATCTACTCATTATTGCCGTGGATATTTTACTATTAAATTATCAATTGTTAGTTATATTTTCAATACAGTGTAGTCCCGTTTTACAAGGCCGTAGGCAGGGAGGGGGGTTAGAGGGTCAAACCCCTCCCCCAAAATTCCGAAATTGAGCAGTACAAATTAAAACTAGGTTTAAAAAGTTGAATTATGAAATAGAAACCACAATAGAGGATTAATTGTTATGTTTTGCAATATCTATTCATATTTAATATAGGCCTAGTTATATTAGGATAATAAATCTGATCTATTAAATAAATTGGTAAAAACTATTTAAAAAATATACTTTACTTTACTCTACTTATGTCTATTTGCTCATGCATGACAAAAAACAGGTGAAATGGGAGTTTTTGGACTATTATTGGACACAGTTTTAGGCGTTAAAATTGCTTCAGAAAGTCACCAAACGGCTTTAAAAATTTAAAAAATTTTGCCCCCCCCTAGACTAGGTCCTAGAGCCGCCACTGGTTTGTTTTGGGTGGTTACACTTCCTCCCTTGCTAACTTTAAGACTGTAGTTGTACCCTTTTGGATGGTAGGGAGAGTAATGGTTTCACACACATTTCTTGGGTTTTTTTATATTAAAACAGATACATATCTCTATGGACTACTCAATTACTCTCCCTACCATCCCAAAGGGTACAACCACAGTCTTAAGGGTAGCAAAGGGAGGAAATTTCACTCCCCAAAAACAACCACCCCTAAAACACAAATACCCCCTTCCGTATATACATATATATGAATTTGAACGGATGGTGTTTTTGGCCTCTGGGGATCTCAAAACTAAAAAGTAAATCGGTCCCGGGTCTAGGTCTTACCATGAAACCTACAGTAACAGCTTATTCCCTATATGGGAAATTCGCTAAAAATAGTTCACAACGGCACCAAAGATAAATTCACCAATTAAATTACGGTATCTAATTTTATTTCTGGATACTTGGCCTACATTAGCTGTAAAATGATGCCATAACGTGTAAAGAACCCTTGAGGATGAAATTGATAAATCATTTTTTCTATTCTAAAAAATATATTATTCAATATCATTTAGATACAATAGTAGTTTACAATATGATACATACATTTATTTACAATAGGCTGAATTTGTTATGAAAAAAAACAAAAACAGTTTGATCAGCCTTTTAACTAAGTACAAATAAAAGCTTTATACAGTTATTGGGATGTTTAAATCATGTTGGAATGTTACTGAGTACACAATTTATCAAAAGGGAATAGTTATTTGTGCAACTAGTGAGAAAAGTGAGCAATTGACTCACTCGAGAGAAATCCTTACTCACGAGCCGTAGGCGAGTGAGGAATGGTTTCTCGAGTGAGGCAATTGTACTTTGAACTCGAGTTGCACATTATACTTTTCCTACAGTTACCATAAAACAAATAAATTGGTGAAGAAACATAACCTATTTTTACACAGAAGTGAACTTTTAATATAACATTTAATGTGAAGTGACAAATACAACAGTACAACAGCTGACCAGCTGATTTACAGCCAGTGCTGCCAACGTATTTCGCGCGCATACGGCGTTGCCTGCATGTTACGCGCTCACTATTTCGTGCCTTCACGTTGAAAATCTGGAGTGAGACAAAGTAGTTAGAGTGAGACAATGTTAACATTGTCTCACTGATGAGTGAATTGGCCACTTTGCTTTCTCAAATCAGTGAGAGAACATGTACATTGTTAGGTGACTGTAGGAAAAATATAAAGGCAGTACACAATATTAAGTGGAAAATAATTTGAGCATTTTAGAAATAATTTTAAAACAGTTCAAACAGCAGAAAAAATATTACGTTTTATAACAGCTGCTTATTTTAATCAGCTGATTTAATAAAAGGAAGAAGTATCTTTTTTTAAAAGGTAAATTGAATTACATTTTCTTCTTTCAGATTTAAACCATTAGTCCGTTAAGCAGTTTGAGGGGAAGTTCCCCCACCACTTTTTTGCTTATTGTATCATGCAGCTGATTGATGTTTTGGTGAACCTCAGCTGTTGGGCTTTTGTTTTAAGGTGGAGGGGGTAGATTTATTCCCCTAAAACCGCATACATTTTTTTTATTGGAGTATAGTAATCAATCATTATGCTACATGACAAATAAACTACTCACAATAATAATTTTATTATTGTGATTGCAAGGTTTGTATATAAAGTGACAATCTAAGTATGTGTACCAAACTATTTTACGATCTTTGAATTTCAACATTGCACAAATTGTTTACTCACTTATGGTGTATGTAGTCTTTAGTCTATGTATTTCATTATGATTAAAGCTAGGAACATGATTGTATAAAATGACCATTAAAGCTATAACTGTAAAATATATATTTGGTGAAAATCACATAAAGGGAACTAATTTTAATGTTTGATATCTATTTTTACCACCTATAAAAATACTCATATAAGCAAAAAATGAGAAAAGTCATTCATAAAAAATTACTCTTAAAATATAAATACTAGGGGAAAATCATTTTTACACCAATGCCTCGTCACGAGACTAACAATTGTTGCTTGGAGCTATAAAATAATGAAAATCTAAACAGTTTGCACATCTCGTTCAAGATTATTTAAACTTTTCAATATCTGTTATTGCAAACTATAAAAACAAAATCAACAAACTTATATTAAATGACAAATATCGCACATCCAACATTTTTTGAAAACTAAATACTCTACAGTAAATCATTTTACAAAAAATTGTATAGCCTAACTAAACCTTTGATGTCAAAATTGACTACAGTATTATCTTATTATAATCATATCACAATAACTGATTAGGGTAGCAGGTTAAAGACCTTACTAATAGGCTTAAGCTAGCCATGTGCGAGTGTATTTACACAGCGGGCTTTGCTATTTTCCATCCCATTCTCGTAGTTTGCCCTTGAAGAAGATCAAGTTTGATTTCGGCCAGATCAAATCATCTTGTGTATTAGAGACATTCTGTGTTTTGTTTAAATCCTGTAAATGAGACAAAAAGTCATATCAGAAGAAGTAAAGAATCTTCCATGAGGAGAATGCACAAAACGGTACTTTGTCAGATATGTATTGGCATTTGTAAATAACAAAATATTTTTACAATAGGGGTAAATAAACCAATCACAAATAATGATATTAAAAATATGTAAAGGTGAGCAAGATTCTATGCATGCTGTCTGTAAATTAAGGTCTCCATTCAGCTCCCATTGCAACAGAGCAAGTTTGTTTAATCTGAGACCATCTGAATCAATCGTCTTTCTTCCTATGGGACGATTAGTCAGGTCATAGAAACATTGTGGAAAATTGACGCTCCCGCCAAATATAAATTCCGTTATGGGATTAGATTTTGTTTGCGTCAGTTGTCAAGCACTATTGAAGTCCACCAGTTGACGGACAAGTTTGGAGTCAAGTATTTGGACGTGGAAAATGTGTGCAAGGGTAGGAGGGAGTATGAAGGTCAACTGACAACAGTAACCACCAGGGTTTGACTTCTTTCCTACAGAAACCTAACCACAGAACAAGAATATTTTCTTTCACAACAACTTTTAAGAGGGTTCTACGTAGTCAATACAAGATGGCGGCTAAACATGCTTGTTTCTAAACAAAACATGCCTCTACGATAAGCTCTCAACACTGAAACCAATTTGTTTCCAAGGATTGTGTGCTTTTTGTGCTCTTAACATATCAGAGGTTGCAATGGATGGGGATAAATTACAGTAATGTTTAACTATTATTTAGAAGCTTAAATCACATGTGAAAAAAAATAATTTACAAATTTTCAAAATTATTTTGTAAATACTTAAAGAAACGATTACGAAGTTTTAGCCCTTTCCAGAGCATAGTTTGAATTGTGGTGAATATTTTACAGATTATTTCAACTCGATAAACACTTTAATAATGCCACGAGGTTCTTTTTGTAGGACCATGTTTACGTGATACCGGTAACCAGCCGGCAGGTGGTACCCTCTTAACACTAATCGTCCCATATAGATGGGTAGGAGCTAGAATAGTAGAGAATGAAGTAAGGTACACAGTTATGGTCTCAGATTTGAAATGACTTGTTTGGTTGCGACAAGAGACAACCTTATTTTACGGAAAACCCACATAATTTACTCATTTTTAAGAGATTTTTCCTTTTGACAACACCTAAGTATTTCATGAAAACTACACTCACATTATAAACAATTCTAAATGAAATATAAATCAAACAATTGAATGAATTGCAACTTACATGGAAGTAGGAAATAAACTGCTTCAATCTGGTGCTTAACCTTTCGTTTGAAACGGAGAGCAAATCCAGGCTGAAACATCAGAACGTACAGGATGAAATAGGTATGTAGGTTGTATTTAATCAAATATTTTGGACTACAAATTTGATAAAAGTTTAACTTTAGCTTGAGTACGTCTGTGTGTATTTTTCCAAGCACAGCACAACAGAAATCCGACAGACCAGAAAATTAACTGGTTGATGGCAGATAATTTTTAACAAAAACATGTGTTTATGAATTGAAACCACCTAATGCTCTTTAAATTTAAGAGAATTGGTCTCCATAGATTTTTATTAACTATAAAGCATACTTTTCATGCCCAATATAAAACAACAATGGGTTAAAAAGAGATTATGACAATTAACAAATAAATATTTTTTTTTTCTTTTTGTGTGTCAAATTACTATTTGTTAATGTTTTCTTTTTTTTAGAAACAGTCCAAACTCAGGCCTTGTTGCGATAAAAACGTCAACCTTTTGTTGGCATCATAAATTAAAAGGCTAATGACATTGAAGTCTGGGTCTAGAATCAACCTCTCTTGGATCAAACCAGTAACTTTTCAAATTAGGCTGTTGAATTGGAGTAATTAAAAGTATTCTAAAAGCAGCAATTTTAGACCTTTCAACAATAAAAAATTACATTATCAGAACAGCTGATAAGTGTGAACTAGCATTTAGAGACTCAAATCTCAGTAAAATAAGTCAAGTAGTTTCTAAGTATGTTGAATGTTTTTGTGATAGAAATGGGAGTAATTAAAAGTTAAAAACTAACCTTTCCTGACCAGCCAGTTTATCAACAATGGTTGCACATATGCTGTGGTTAACTTCAGCTTCAAACAAAGGCACTCCGAAACAACAGTCGAGGATGGTCCAAGCTGATACATCGACATCAGTCTGACGGTGATCAGGCTCTTCCACTCTGGGTATCCAACAGGAACAGCCATTGGTAAATACAATTCATACAGTTTTTATTAACATAGACGAAGTCAATATTGGTTACACACAGTTTCTGTTAAAAAGTTTATACTCTTTTATTAGGAGATTTTAGGTAAAACCATAATGTTATGAATAGCTTACTGACAGATTGATATTGATTTATTGACAGTTATTTCTAGTAGACTGATAAATTGAGATACAAAAGTTCAAAAGAAACTTAACTTAACCAATAGTTAGGTGTTGGGTTAAGTATTGAAAAAAAAACTTTAACGTAAGATGGTGTTAACCCATTGGGTAAGGAATTAATGCGCTACCTGCAGCACCCTCTGGCGGCAATTAATTTTACCGAATTTGTAGACTTTTACTCTAACTGCTATAGAAAGAAAACCTTAAATAAATTGATAATTCTTTCACCATTTTGTTCACAGTAAAATTGTCTACAGAAAAGTGGCAATTGGATAGTCAAAGTTCTAAACTAAAAAAAATATATATACAGTGTGTAAATTAAGTATGGAAACAAATCTGTATTTTTAAAACCGAAATAGATAGAAATATTCTATTTGTGGCAATAATAGTTAACAAAGATTCCGCAATTTTTCACATGAAAAATATTTTTTTACCCCCCTAACAGGGTAGGTGGTAGGGGGTGACTTATTTTTTTCAAATAGCAACCCCTATTGAGTGACCCCTCATTTTGAAGAGTTTGTCAAAAGAAACACAATGACGCAAATCCGAGGTGAATATCTCACTCCTAGCCCAAATGGCGGATATTCCAAAATTTGATTTATTGTACGTGAAAAGCACCAATTTCACAAATAATGGAAAGAAATCTGTATTTTTAAAACCGAAATAGATAGAAATATTCTGTTTGTGGAATTGATTGTTGACATAGGTTCCGCAATTTTTTTAATCAACAATATTTTTTCAACCCCTTTAACAGGGTAGGGGGTGGGAGTGACTTATTTTTTTCAACAACAACCACTATTGAGTGACCCCTCATTTTGAAGGGTTTGTTAAAAGAAAAAGAATGACGCAAACCCGAGGTAGATATTTCACCCCTAGCCTAAATGGTGGGTAATGAAAAATTTAATTTTTGTAAAAAAAGCCCATTTTGGAATATCCGCCATGTTAGCTAGGAGTGAGATATTCACCTCGGATTTGCGTCATTGTGTTTCTTTTGACAAACCCTTCAAAATGAGGGGTCACTCCATAGGGGTTGCTATTTGAAAAAAATAAGTCACCCCCTACCACCTACCCTGTTAGGGGGGTAAAAAAATATTTTTCATGTGAAAAATTGCGGAATCTTTGTTAACTATTATTGCCACAAATAGAATATTTCTATCTATTTCGGTTTTAAAAATACAGATTTGTTTCCACACTTAATTTACACACTGTATAAAGATTATAAAAATAAAAATTTAAAAAACAATATTTTGAAAGTAAACTTGATATACAAATTCCAAGATTAATCCAGACACCAAATAACACTACTATTATAAAGGTCAATCGATTCCCTACATAGACAAATCAAAAGTTGTATACTTTTATAAGTAATAACATTTTTTTTTAAATTGTTTGTTTACCTTACCGCAGCTGATTTTTGGTGATATGTGGTTTCCATGGCAACACAAAATTGTTTGTTATTCGCTAAAATAAATGAGTAATTACGCAAATCAAGAAGCAAGATATTTATAAACATTATAATAGTTAGAAGAAACAAAAAGGGCGAAAAATAATAATAACTAAATAACAAATGGCGCTGCCTAGCGGTGACACGAGCGGCTCTCGTAAGTCGGCCGCCGGGCCTGCAGCGGCCGTACGAGTAACGCTCGTAAGTCGGCGCCAATGGGTTAAGTAACGTATTAAACATAACTAAACTTGACCTTACCTAACCTAACGTAACCGAAATTGCCTTAGAATGCCTAATTGAAGAGCTACTCAAGCTCCTCACTCTTGCTGTTGTGGCATAATGGTAAAAAGGAAATGGTTTGGTTACACCCAGACGCCCTAGTAAATGCGGAACAACAATATACAAGACAGAGGAATATACGCCCTGGGTTCTCTGACCTTTTTGCCACATCTACCAAGACAACCATGCAACGTCGACACTCGTTTTTTTTTTTTTTTTTGAGTGGAAAACCCAGAGTTGGGTAAACAAATACTAGATAACATCGCATTTAAAAATGAAAGTACAAAAATGGTAAAAATAAAATTAATTATGGTGCACCAGGTATGTCCAACATCACGATACACATGACAACAATTTGATACTCTATAACAAATGCAAGCTTTTTTTTTTTTTTTAACAGGGTTTAGGGTAAGGGTTGTGGGTAAGTTACCATGCAAGTGTGTGTCGTTACAATCCATTGATGAGTTTACATTTAAATGCCAGGGCGGCCAAATCCATAATCCAGTTGTCTGCACCATTATTAATTGCAAGTTGCAGGTGCTTATTACTTATTAGTCAAGTACGACACACTTATTCGGCCATTTATTCATGTGGATATTCAAGGAGTGAGAGGGTAATGTGCACTTTTTTTTTTTTTTTTTTTTTTTTTATAGCTAGCACTTGTTTATTGAAACTTGAAACAAAATATCATTGTGCATGATGACGTGTAGACATACCTTCTAATATCCCGGTATATAAAAAAAAATCCTGGTGGCAATAGGTTACAGAGGTTGACCCTTGTTTGATAGAGACAAATTCTAATCTAAGCCTAAAGACAGTCTTAAAGCCTGGGTGTATAACTAAGGTAGGTAGGGTTGTGGGTTGGTATCTATAAAACAAAATTATTTTGGTTCAATGCTAACAAGCATTGAGAAGATTGGAGAAGTTAACGACATTGCAGCGACGTGTGCTTGAACAATGTCGTAACTCAGGCAAGCGCGATAGGAAGTCGTGTTTGTGAGATATGTGCTGATTGTGTTTTGTAGGATCCTGGAGTTTGCAAAATTCTCCTATTCAGCCAGCTTTGGTTTCAAAAAAAAAGAAAAACACATTTTATTTTATTTTACTACTAACTAATATTTATTTTGTCCCTATTATGTTTGATAACTGTTGTGTTAAAATTTCAAAGGCTCTCTTATTCAAATGTAGTTGGTCCAGTCGACGTGAATACCTGTATTGCTGTTCGAAAAATAACTCATTTGTAGACTCATGAAAACACAATCGTAGAATAAAGATGGTTTCGCTTTGCAAGGTTGCGAGAAATTTATTGAATTCGGCTAATCGCTGCATGTGGGAGGGTGAATAAAGATACTTAGGATATATTGGTAAGGTGAGCGTTATAATGTATTGCGGGTGACAGAGCTTAATGATAAGTCGAACAAGTGATGAATATTGTGCGTGTAAATGTTGACTTGGTGTTTGCTTCGCAATGTCATTCGTTGCTGCGAATAAAACTACAATTGGCCTAACACACATACTAGCTAATTGTTGGCGACGTTGTTTTAAAATTGCCTTCAAGTTGGCCGTCGTAGTTCCAGACACTGTTATGCTATTCGAATTGACCTTCAATTGTTGCATGTGCGAAGGAAGTTTATTTAAATAATCTCTGTACCTACAAAATTGGGAATCCCCTACCAATAATATCTCGGGTAATTGTCGTTGCATAATTAATAATGTATCTAACAATATGACGAACAAATTAATGAGAGATGCAAATGTAATGAGCAATGTAATGACAAGTTAATGAACAATGTAATGACAGGTCAGAATAAATAGCACAAATACAGTAATACAAATATAATACAAATGGTATGGATTGTGGTGGTAAATAGCTGCGATTGTAAATCTGTCAACCTATTATGTTCGTGGGAAATGCATTAACAAGATTTGTGCGACGGGAGTAATCCTAAAGACTCAATTTTATTCTGATGCGAATGTCTGTAGTTGATATTGGACAGTGTTCAATGCTACGGCTGTGTTAGTAAACAAACGAGTTCCGCGCGAACAAAGGAAACTATGTGGGCCAAGGTCAAACCCGGTCAAATGATAGTCAGCTGTTTGGCTACTGTCGGCTGGATATTAAATCTATTGGTTCGAAGTTTGCACTGTTTTCAAGAGTAGCATAAATTGAAAACTGTATTGTTGAAAACTAATGTAAATGTGTTTGTAAAATGCTGGTGTAATAAACACAATATTGAAAAAATCCTAGTGACTAAGCAATGAAATTGAATTAAATATTTACCAATTAAATTAACTACAAATACTAAATTAAACTCGTGAATTAAACATACGGTGACATACTGCTGAAAATACACATAAATAATACTGGGTTGATTGAACTCTGTTGGACTCTAATTAAAGCTTAACGATTCGTGTATTCAGATTTTTTTTTTTTACCTTTTTACATTTTTATTATTTTTTTTTTATATTTTTATTTTCATGATCAATGTTGAACAATTACAACTCTCTAGCTCGTGGACATATTACAAAGTTGTAAAGAATCTATTGTTGCAAAATAGCACTCATTTAAATCTCTTGTCCACAAATAAACAACACCTGATTACACTTAAAACTAAGACCAGAGATATTGCTGGATCTTAAACTTCAAATATTGGTAACACAATAAATATTAAATATGACAATTATACAACAATTAATTAGTTACCAAGTAATAGACATGAACAAGATATGAAGCTTCTGAAAATAATCATTAAATTATGTAGATCCAACAATCCTCCAAGGTCATACTAGAATAAAATATTTACTGCTAGCAATCAAGTATTATTCATTTTTTTGTCCTACACTGATCTATTAATATTTATTTATATTTTTTGCCTGAATACACAAACTGACAAACTACAAAAGTGACAAAATTAACTATGTGATATTACTATGTGATATTACAACTTACAATTGCGTAGTTACGGGAAAAAATTGGAATCACTGTGCCTACATAGCTATTTTAACAACTTTGATCGGAGTAAAATGCGTTCAGCAAGAGTTTGAACTGCAATGGAAACTACCACACGTATTGCGTAACCTTGACCGGCTGGGACATGAGTCATCGTTTCCTGTCGACACACGCCAGATCGCACAACACGTGTAGGCAAATTTAATTTAAAACATTTTTTTAATGACTTCGGACCTGCTAAAATTGCGGTTTGTCTATAAAATTCGATCGAACGCTTTTGCTCTGCTACCACTTGTGGCATAATGGTGCCACATTTTGGTGACCTGGTCATGTGAATTAAATTCCAGACCAAATCGTTCTTGTTGGAAACGTTAACTGAACACATTTATTGATGCAGAGGAGACAATTTACCGCAAATCACAGGCCCTAATAGCCAGCTTTGATGATTGTTTCATTAATTAATGCATTTATATCACAGAAATATGTACATTGTTCAACTTATGAAATAATTACTGTATGAGTTGACTGGACACAACGTGAACTAATATTTTATTTAATGATGAATTACTAATAATGGAAAGAATGTTATAGTGAATTGATACCATGATCTGAAATTACATATTATCAATAATTAGTGCTACGACACAATACCTTAAGGGGGCGTCCCCCCATTTCCCAAGAACTTAGCCTTCCATGGTGTTTGCAGTCAGGAGCACGACACACGACGGACGTTTTTCACTCGTCTTACCCGCTTGCCTCCTTGCGCATGCGCGAGCAGCGGTAGGGGTTGAGATTGGCGGGACATTCAAACAGTGTTGTGGAGATTGACTCCACACTGTCAAGACCTAACCTTAAGCAATTTTCAGGGGGATCGACAAGTTGCTGGAGTGTGACAAAAGAATTAATCGATGAAGTGCTGAATTGTTGATGTACTAATGATGTTTCTAACCTAACCGCTGTATAAATATGAACTGTGTTTGACGACAAAAAAAGGCCACAGCTAATAAAGGCCATGGTTTTCACACTGTTTTCATTTCTCAAAGCTAAACTAAAACAGTTAAAACCATATCACTGCTGTAAGCAAGCAACCAGGATAAATTAAAACTCACTTGTTGGGTGAGCTGGAGACAGAGCTAGCTGACACTTTGCCCTCTGAGAGGTTGTCCAACTCTTGTTTCAAGATGTCCGCACACTCCTTGCTGTGGAACCCGTTCTTGGGTCTCTCTGGACTACTACTTGACTGAACATCTGACACACCTGAAATTAGAGTTAACATCAGTATTACATCAGCTCAGTAAAAGATGTTGCTGTGTCATGTTAACATTACATAATACCTGCTTTCAATTCTTTCAGTAATGATTGGATTTAGCTGTGCACAAATAAAGAAAGCAAGAAAACAATTTACAATTTCTTACATTTAAGTGACAATTTTTAAATTAAAAGTTTACCTGAAAGTTAATGTATAAAGTTCAAGTTCAAGTCTGAAAGTGGCACCTTAAAAGACAGAACATTCCTGTTAAGCATTTGCATTTTCTTCAACCTTGTGATGCATCTCTCGGCAGTGGTTGTGATTAACAGGAAACTGTATGCGCATTGGAGCTTTAGGGGGATACATTGATAAAGTGTGTGATGTTAAATCATATAACGTCATGCCTCTGCAGATTTATAACCCCCTCCATCTCCAACTTCTAATGGTCAATTATCAACACCATCTGTAGAAGTATCAATGTCCCTTACTGTTTTGAGTTGCATGTTACGTGAATCTCACAATATAGACATTGCACATCCTACTGAAGAAACCTTACCTTTCAACTAACAAACTAAGACCCAATGATACCTTGACTAGCAGGAGCATGTCAGATATTATGTACTCACCGGGACACTTGTCAACCCACGCCCGGACAGCAGTGGTGGGGGTGAGTTGTAGCCGCAGAGGAGAGGTGGTGGAGGGAGTCGGCCGCAGCTTGGCCATCGTCACGTAGCCACAAGTGTGCTCCAGATCCAGCTCTTCACACAGAGTTGTGATGCCATCATGTTGCGTCCAGTCAGCACCTTCACATTACACAATGGGATATCATTGCGGGTAGCGATGCGCCATTGCAAGATGCACCAAACAAAATGTATAAATTGTTTTGTCCATTCAAATTGTAATTGAATGCTTAGTCTGCATTCTAAATGTTCAAAGATATTGATTAAAGAATTAATTAAGTAACACATTTTTCCTGAATAAAATCAATTGTTCAAGAAAACAAATAAATTTTTAAAATTTGATGGTATGTAATCATTCAGATAATTTAATTCATATATCACTAATTAAAAATATCAATGATCAAGCACTAGTGAAATTGTAATATACCTTACCTTTGCTTTCCTTATCACCATCCTTACTTTTGAATGGGAATGGTACAAGTACTGTTTCAGCTCCTTTGTCCACACCATAAGCCTAAAATCATAAACAAACAGCGGCATTGAATTGTGTTGCTGTTTAAAAATTTGTGAAGTAAATGTTTCAAAAATTTGAAAACTGTTGGCCTTCGAATTAGTACTTACAACATAGTACCAAGTGGTTTTAATGTCCATATCCAGAACTTTACAACCTTAGCCATAAGGATACCTGTTGGGTTTTTAGAATAAACGTTAAAAATAAATCTACAATAACGGAGATCTTTCTGCAAAGACATCACACATTTACCTGAGCCAGGACGGGAGAGTAAGTGAGAGCATCATTCAATGCAAACAGCAGATTAGCCAGAGGAATGACTGCGGGGTCATGACCCCATGAGGTCACTAGCACCTTATCACAACGACGTAGTAGAGAGGGCAGCTTTCTCAGTCTGGTTCCTGCATCATCACAACAGATTAGTTTCTATGCAGGGTCACTTACTATTTGACTGGAGGGGGTAGGGGGATATACCAGGTTCACAAAGACTACAGCTGGTGACGCTAGCGCTTCCTACATGTCTTCGTGAACTACCGCTGGCGGCAATCCTCGTGGTGTCGCCTCTTTTAATACGGCGGTTTTGCTTCTTCTAAGGTTCTGTATTCATTGTGCTTACTTATTAGAAACTTGATTTATCATCTAAATTTCAAACTTATTTATGTTTAAACTAATGTGTGGTTTGCATATAGCACCTCCTTATGAGGGAGTGATATATCATAACTGTAAATGTATTTATTTAGGGGTGGGTTGAGTCAAATTTATCTATTTCTCAAAGCCTTCCATACCCATTTAAAAGAATAATAATAATTATATACAATTTTTGACAGCATTTGACATTTTGACAATCTCCTGTAGATTTGACAGGTAATATAATAGATTTTCTCAGCAAACTTCCTAAACGATTTTGATCGGGATAGTATTAGTATTGTTAGCTTCCCATCTCAATTTATAATTTAAAGGTATTTATTAAGTTTATTCATGAATAACTCTTCGATTAACTTTTTAAAACTGATTTTTGAATAAAATGTAAAAAACCTTTTAGTTAATAATTTTAAACTGCTTTATTTTGCTTCATTACATATCCTATATTGGTCCTGAATAGCATCTACAATCAAGAATCAAATTAAACATTTCAGTATCCAAATCAAAATAAAAAAAATTAGGAATCCATCCATCACTCACTGTCACAAAATCCAATCCTAGAACACAGTAGTGTTGTAGTATTAATGATGCATTTCATCAACCTCTAAATACGTGTCGTGTGTAAATGTTGTATGTCGTGTAATGTGTTGTGAGAACGGAGCTATTCAAGCGGATCTACATCTTCCTGTATTGTGTGTTTGACAATGGCAGTTTGCCGAAACATGTAACACGTTGACGAAAGTTACTTTTGGAACTGATAAAGGTATTGTAAAACCAAATATTTTAAACCTCTAAATAACTTTGATAAATTGTACAACACTAGGCCTACTTGTCTTACCTCTGGTGAGCAGAATGGAGGGAGGGCCGTCCTTGGTAATGTGGTAGATGAACAGTTTGAACCATATGGTGTTGACGTCTGGTGACGCAGGGCCGAGGTGAGGTGGGTCCTTGCTTGTGATTGGTCGGATCTCTTTACTCAGCGGCGCCATTGACACTAGCAGCCTAAAACAATGGTTGTCAATATGAAAATAGCGGTAAAAAAACCCTAAAACAACTCATATAAAAACTTATAATTTTTTCCTAATGTACTAATACCTCCTCAGCAGTTCCAGATAGAACATTATATTTTTATAGAATGCTATTTTAACACCTTAAGGAAACAGTGTTTGAAAATAGCATATTAACGAAACATGTGGCACCCGGCTTATTACTTTTGGAGCTACTGGCGTGGCATTTATAATTCACATAACTCATTGTAGCAGTTTTGGAGCAAGTAGGCCTACAATATATAGACCAGCCATAACAATTTTTCATAGCAAAAGATCATTGTCGTTCGAGCTATTCATGTATTTCTCCCATAGTTTTTGTTACTGTGACAATTGTTGAACTTGTTTACGTTTACACTAAGTTATTCAAAAATTGCCGTATTTGGCAGAAACCAGTAATTTACATCAGCTTACTCTGTCACTGGCTCTATTCGTCTACAGTTGAGTGCTGCTGTTCTGAAAATGCACCCATTCCGAACTAAAGTTTTGGATACTATTAGAACTTTGTTTAAAGACAAACATAAAATCAAGAACATCTTCTGCAGTCAGGCGGAAACTCAACATCTCCTGTTGTCACGGCTAAAATATGAACATATTCAGTGGCCGCACAGACAAATTGATCATCTCTCGCTATCGCGGCAAAATCATGAACATCATTTGGGATCGTGATTATAAATTATTACAGAAATCAAGTTAGTTCAGAATAGCGGGACTCAACAGAAAGTTCATTTTAAGTCTAAACTGTCAAAAGCTTTGTCACAGGAATGATGTTTGACACTATTTCTGCCCATAGTTGCAGATTTTGCCACACTTACGAGTAGTTCTTAGCTAGTAGCCTGTTGCGAGTTTCAGGTTCGAGGGGGTACAAGCTCTCGCAGCGTACAAGGTCCAGCCCTGCGTGTAGACTTGTGCTGTGCCTCAGTGCGAGAATGGTGGAGCGCAGGATGAGGGCGTGCTCAAAGTATCTTCTCGCCTCACCTTCACTGTCGTCCCTCGCTGTGCTAACCTGCAGACGACAGAAGACATGAGAGGTTGATAAGTGGTTTAAAAAAATAGGTCAAATGTATCGATGCTTAACAATACAAAGTGGCTCAAAATATTTACTCCCATCACCTTATGACGTCCCTGGATGTGCTTACATGCTGACAAGGACATAAGAGTTGGAAAAAGTGTTAAGTATAAGTACTCAAATTTACACATGACAACGCACATTGTGCTTGATAGACCAAAACTGAATCAATGTTTGAAGTCACCCCTTCACATCCAAAGATGCTTGGCTCTAGCCTGTACATGTTTTAAATATTTTATTAGGCTAAGTCTAAAGAGGCACAGTTTAAAACGTCTAATCTCACGTTCTACCACTACACAGACCATCTTACTCTCCTCAAGACATTGATGTATCAACTCTGTTGCTGTAATAATATTCACTTTAGACTAAACCAAATGTTTGATTTACAGTGGAACATGTTTTTGTGGATGTACCAATTTTTAAACAAAGGTATTAGCCTATTTGAAATGTTGATCAGGAGCACACTATTGCACCCTATTAAGAATAATGAATATTAGTATTTCTATTTTGTAGCATATGGAATTAGAAAAAAAGCTAAAAGATTCATATGAGGAATCGATATAGCATAGGCTACAACAGGCAGATTCATGCTTTACATTGCGTAGGTAGAAGATGCCTAATCAGATTTTATCAGTATGGTTTCCTATCACTAATTTAGTCCTCAAACAAGGTCTGAACTCACATTATCAGAACGATACTACCCATAATTTTACTTTAAAATCTTACCTTTTCTAACTCACAGAGAAACCCGTCGATTGATTCGTCCAATAGTTTCCCAACCTCAAACATTGTGACCGCATGACTTTTTAGACCCTGCAAGAGTAATAAATCAATCAGCAAACCACAATATACACAGACATATTTATTTTGCTTATGCACATGACAGTTTTATTAAGACAGTGTCATAAGCAATGCTACAACTTGTGATGTGTCAATTACAATTTTTATTGGTTCAGTTTTTGTTTTATCAAATGTCAGTTATTTTTTGTTTTAAATGGATAAAATTACAATTCACTTATATGTTAGCATGAGCCACAAATGATCATTTAATTTGTGAAGGTTTATTGTTGCTGACGATAGGTTTAGGTTGTAACAAGGTTATTTTTGCAAGTAAAACTTTGGATACTGATAAATTGGAAATTTATTCAATAATCCTTGAGACAGCAATAAAATTAGCAGGTAACGATTTATTCCTCGTACTCATAATGACTATCTAATGTTCTAATACATCTCATTTATGGTTGCCAATGTAAATGCAGTCTTTGGGTTTGGTATCCATGAATTGTGCTTGAGAAGTGTGCTTTTATGATCATGTTATCTTGAAAATCTCTCGTTGTCAAGAAGGCATCATCATCGCACGCGACTGCCTCAAATCACAAACTTCTCTTACAATTGCAAAGTAAAGACATCATCATCGTCTTATGTGATTAGGGCATAATCCCCTTATCATATGAACCACTTTCATGAAGACATCATCATCTTCCGTGATCACATACAAATTAATGAAAATCTACTGCTTAGACATCATTATGGTTTGCCAAGAGCACATCAAAATCATGAACATGTACCACTGTTCTGAAGATAACACAATTATCTTCTGCGAACACAACAAAATCCTCAATATCTGCCGTAGTCAGTGGACATCATCATTGTCTTCCGTGATCAAGGCAAAATCTTGTACAATATCTAGACAATAGACAATAGACAAATAATCTTTATTTACACATTCATTAAGAATAGTAGTAGCGTCAATTTACAATTTTTTCTAAATGTTTGGTTGAGGTGTTGTTTGGTCAAAGACCTGTTGATGGTATTCTTCTAAGGAATAGAAAGGTCGATTAATGAGCCATTGATGCAAAGCTGGTTTGAGGTCATCTTCTGACTTGCTTCTTAGATCTGGAGGTAGCCTGTTGTAGATTTTCATTCCTGCGTATGAAGGTTTCTTTTCAAACTGTGCCGTGCGATGTTGTGGAAGGTTGTACTGCATGGTGTTTCTCAGGTTGTGTTGGTGCATTTCGCCACGCCTTGTAGGGTTATTTCTTACTGCAAATAACACAACTTCCTGGATGTAGAGTGCTACAAGGGTAAGTACTTTGAGTGACCTGAATGCTTCCCTGCAGCTGTCGAGTCTGTGGAGACCTGCAGTTATTCTGACTGCCTTTTTTTGTTTTCTGAGAACTCTTTGCATGTTAGTGGCAGAGGTTCCACCCCATGCTACAAGTCCATATCTCATATGCGACTCGAAAAGTGCAAAGTATGCTACTTTTGTTGTCATGTCATCTGTTGCATTTTTTATATGTTTAAGAGCATAGATGGTTGAACTTAATTTTTTACATATATTGTCCACATGAGGGGTCCAGGTTAAATTCTTGTCGAGTGTGATGCCCAAAAACTTAGCTTCATCTTCCACTTCTACATCTGGGAGTCGTGGCACTTCTTGAGATTTACGGCCAAAAGCTATTTGAGTTGTTTTAGACGTGTTTACTGCGAGATCATTGTTATAGCAGTATTGGTAGGCCATACTGAGTGACACATAGGATTTTACTTCTAGATTTTCAGCTAGTGGTTCATTAAACACTAAGGTTGTGTCATCAGCATACATAAGAGTAAGGCAGGCGTCTCCTATTTGTTGCGGCAAATCGTTGGTAAAAAGAATAAACAGTACCGGACCCATAACTGAACCTTGGGGAACTCCTCGATTTATTGGTTGAAAATTTGATCTTGTTTTTCTTATTAGGCTGTTATCTCTGTGCCTTAGTTCTACAAACTGACTCCTGTCTGTAAGGTAGCTTTGAAACCATTCTCTTACTATCCCTGATACCCCCAGGGAATCCAGCTTTTTAATGATTAGCTGGTGGTCAAGGCAGTCAAATGCCTTACTGAAATCAAGAAAGATTCCTGTTGTTAGATTTCCTTCATCTAGGCTGTCAATCAGGGACTACTTTTGCGAACCCGTCACAATTGTCTCATGCGACAGCGTTAAAAATTACTGTACAACAACCAATACACCACAACTAAAATTTTCCGACTCTCAATTTTCGACAACCAACTTTAAATACCGACCCATCCCTAGCTTCAATCAACATCACTTGAAACAATAAAACTAGAGAAGTATATAATGTTTTTGGTCAAGTATATTTATTCAAGCAGATTATGAAGTAACTTACAGGCGAGAGGTTGCCCATCATGAGGAAGGCGGTGAGTGTGGAGTCAAAGAGGAAGCAGATCCTCTTGGAGCGAGGTGAGGTGAGATCAGAGTCATCAAGATCTACAATAGTCTCTGTCTTGACCTCCTCAGCTCCTGCCTCAGCAAGTGCATCACTCAGGTCCAACAGACAAGGGTCGCCTCCTTCAGGACTCATACTTCTATAACAAACACAGCTAACTTAGACAGGTTACTTTTGTTCATACCAAAGTTGTACGAACTTAGACAGGTTACTTTTGTTCATACCAAAGTTGTACGGGAAATAAAGTCTCAATATAAAGACTAAGTCTGAGACTAACATTGTGTTTGTAACGAGTTATTTTCCCTAGGGGGGTATATTTTTGCTATTTGGCCGCGCACCGATTGTTGAGGTGAACGAGCGGCGGCGGCGAACCTGGCTAGCGCCCTTTGACCCGGCTTATCAGTTCGGATAAGCTTGGGTATCCTGGAACTACCGGACAGCCGAGAACGGACATTCTAGTGGTGGATCCCGTACAGTGAAGAAGGCAGTGTTGGTGTCCAGTAGAGACGGACGGCGTACGTGGGTGGTACAGAGAAGTGTACGGTGTCGTGTGATATTGGTGCTCAAGGAGTGAGTGTCGGCATTCAAGTTGGGTAGTGAGTCAGTAACCCACTTGTGGTGAGTGGACGACGTTTTATTATATTTTGGTTTAAGAGAGTTAGAGAGTTAGAGTTGTAACCGTGCTGGTCAAAGCCTGTCAGTAGTTAGGATTTATATTAGTCAGGAATAATATTAAAGTGTATTCCTGACGGTTCTGGGCAGGTGCTGGAGCGCAAATAATATAATTTATTGACTGTAGTAGTTATTATTTTGCGTTGTACCAAGAGTTAGTTATATTACTAATAACTCTGAGGCCCGACAAACCTAGGCTGCACGATTTAGCGTGCGTAGTTGGAAACACGTGGCCAGTAGGCTAGTAGCTAATATTATTGGCCTATTAACAGAAGCCCAGCTAAGTAACATAAAGTTGGTAGTAGCAGTAGCAGTAGTAGGGTTGTTATTGTTTATTCATTTGATTATTTTAATTTAACCTGAACAGCTTGTTTGGTAGTCCAACACGTTATCTTGGTAGCTTGGATAGCGGAGTACCGGCTATCAGATAATATATTTATCTATAGTGTTTGGAGTATTTAATATTTATTTATCTGCTACTAAGTAGCTCAATATTTTAATAGCGCAATTGCCATTTAGTTTTGCTTGTTTGGCTTGGTATTTATTGAGACCAGCTACTGGTGTTGTAGTCACTCTACCTATAGTGCACTTGTATTGTTATCTGGTATTTTTATTGAGTGAACTGTTTGATTCTTAGCTTGGGCATTAGAGTTGTGTATTGGATTATAGTGGCCTAGTAGACCCCGCCTGGTGATAACACGCGTTGTGGTTTTTATTGGCAAGTCGTCGTGTAACTCACTGTGTTTTAGGCACTCTGGGCTTGACTATTGGATAGTTAGGACGAAGCCCGAGTTGCGTAGTCAGCAACGACCCCCTAGGAGTGTGGAGAATCGGCGTAGGCCTGGTAGTGATTATTGCACGTTTGTTTTGGTGACTGGTTTTTGACTTGTTCACAGTGCCCGTGTATGAGCCAGTCATATACCGGTTAGACCCGGCTATTGGCCTAGTGGTTTCCCTGACCTTGTCGCAGACCCTGGAACTTTACCCAGCCATTGTAGGCTGAGCTATCCCTGGCAAACGGTTGCGACTGCGACTGCACTTTTAATATTTATTTTTCCAGTGCAGAAAAGCAGCGTCGCAAGATGGCGCCCGAACAGGGACTGAGGTCGGCAGTGGTGCTGAGTTGCTGACGTATTAACGGCGCCCGAACAAAATAATTTTATTTGTGCAGATTAGCTGCGGACTTGTGCAGATTGGCTGCGGACCTGAGCTGTTGAGCAGAGTTTTAGGCAGACCTGCTGTGATTTTATAGTCGGTTGGGTAGGCCTAACCTGTTTTCTGTTACAGCGTGGTGTGTTGTGAACCCTAATTTATTTAGTGGTTGTATACATAGATATTAGTTGGTAAATATTATTTTGCTAATTAATTGAGCTTTAGTGTTGAATATTATTTGAGTGAGAACCCTTATTGTGTATTTGTGGTTTGACTTTCACACCTATAATTGGTTTGATGTATTATTTTGCTAATTAATTGAGCTTTATCATTGAATATTATTTGTGTGAGAACCCTTATTGTGTATTTGTGGTTTGACTTTCACACCTATAATCGGTTTGATTTATTATAACGGTGTTAAATACATTTTAATTGGTTACGCCTTATTTTTGCGGATTTGTCGTGGTGTTTTGAATTTTAAATATGGTTGTCACTACGAGTACGACGTCTGTGCTGGGCGGTACACCTATTACGTCTGCTATTACTACGACTAGTTCCGGGGTTAGCTCCGAACTGTCGGTGATGACGACATCGTCATTGTGGCCGGCGTCTTCGCTCGTTTGGCCGACTATTTCATCGGTCGTGGCTACGACGGTGACAACTTCTTTGACCTATTCCGCGCCAGCGACTATGTCCTTGGGGTCGCAGCCCCAGGACGGTCGCGTGGGTTGGATCTATGACCTCTCGAAAGGGGAGCTCATGAGAACAATGGACCAGTATGGTTTGGTGACCACTGGTACTTCTGCGGAATTACGGCAGCGATTCTCGTCGTTTTGGAAGCAGCGGAATGCCCGTCGGTATAGCGATGATAGGCTGTGTACAGCTGGGGCTGCTGCACCGACATATTTACCGCCGGCTACTACAACTGTGGAGCTTCCTGAACCCAAGAGAACCGTACCTCAGGTACTGGGTAATACGGAATCTGACCAAGCCGAGGTAGTGGGAATTAGCAGGGAGTTAGAGGCGGTCAAAGAGATTCTTGGGTTGTCTTTGGAGACTGATACCCAGACTCTTCGAGAATATCTGGCCTCGGTGGTGCGACAGGCGAGAGGCTCGCCGAGTAATGAGGTCGGCTATGGGTTCGAAAGACCCGCCAACCCTATGTCCCCTGTTGTGGCTGCTCCCATGCCTACCTTTGGGTTAGCAAGTAGACCCGAGGGATGGCAGCGACCTAGTGTGGAGGTGCCACGTGGATCGGGTATGCTCTCGAGTGAGGCCAGCAGAGTGGAGCCGAAGAATTGCTCCAAGATATGTGACATGGTCCGAAAGTGGGGTTTGAAGTTTGATGGACGTAGAGACCCTGTGTCATTCCTGGAGCGTCTTGAAGAGCTGATGGTCTCGTACGCTATATCGTCGGAGGACCTGCTCAGAGCGCTGCCGGAGCTGTTGCAAGGCTCAGCACTTCTTTGGTACAGGAACTGCAAGGAGCTCCTGTATTCTTTTGAAGCTTTTCGGCATCAATTTGAGATCCAGTTCCTTCCACCTGGTTATCAGAGGAATTTGGATGAGGAGATCCGGAAAAGAACGCAGGGTGAGACCGAGCACTTCCGGGACTACGTTGTTGCCATAAGTACCTTGCTTAGGCGTAGCGGTACGTTGTCGGAGCATGGTAGATTGGACCTAATCTACAATAATATGCGTCCAGAGTACAAGCTGATGGTACGCCGGCGTGACTTCAGCAACCTGGCCGAGATGGTGGAGTTGGCTGAAGACTACGAGGCCTATTTGCGAGAGAAGGCCGCCTTCCGACCTCCTCCTTCACCAAACATAGCGCTGGTTTTGGAAACCGCCTACGTTCCCAGGAAGAAAGCTGAAAAGAATCTTGAGACTGTCACGTTCGAAAGAGGTAGTTTCGAGAGACCGTCTCCTGAAGCCAAGTCAGTTGGGCAGCGGGTTAGTTCATACTCGATTGAGACTCGTGTACGAAGGCCCGCAATGACAAGGAAAGATGCTGATGGCGTACGGTGCTTTAGGTGCCAGGAGACTGGTCACTTTACCAAAGAATGTGGCAAGCCGAGGACCGTCTCCTGTTTTGGGTGTGGCAAACCTGGTTTGATGGTGAGTCAGTGTGGATGTCGGGCGGGAAACGGCAGGCCAGCTCAGACATCAGGAGGTCAACTGGGCAAGGCCACCCAAAACGAACGACCTCAGAAGAGTGGTCCGAGTGGTCCGGAAGACTAAACGGCCTGGTTGGTGGAGTAGACGAGGACCGGCTGATTTCAGAATCAAGGGCCTTTGTGGAAGTTGTGCTGATGGGCAGCGTTTTTAAGGCATTATTGGACACTGGCTCCGTAGTTAGCTTGGTTGGGCGAGGAGTCGCCAACCATCTTCAGCACCAGGGTGTAGAGCCGTGTAAGCAAATCGCTCCTCTGAGAATGGCAGATGGGACACGGTCAACGGCCGAATATTCGTTTCGGCTAGCAGGAGAAGCTGCGGGAAGACGGTGGATGGGAGATGCCTTGTACGTCCCCACTCTCACCACATACATGATTCTGGGTATGGATGTCATCCGAGACCTCGGATTGGTGACATGTGGGACAGAGGTAGTTAGAATGGGCGTGGGTGATGACTGTTCTGGCCAAGGTGGCCGCATGGACAGTGTCAAAATTGGTGACGAAGACCCCGAAGGCCCTTGGAGTGGAAATCCCCGTCTGGTTCCTGATGCCAAATCTTTCAGTACCATGTTGGCTGGTAGTGGCTAGTAGAAGAGTTTTTTTTTTTTTTTTGAGTTTGAGACCTGTGGTGTAGGATTCACCATTGGGTTAGGGGCTTGAGTATTTTTGTTTTGGCCGGAGTTCAAGAATTTTTTTTTCTTTTAGCCGTTTTCTTTTTTTTTCATCCCGATGTAAGTGGGGGATGTAACGAGTTATTTTCCCTAGGGGGGTATATTTTTGCTATTTGGCCGCGCACCGATTGTTGAGGTGAATGAGCGGCGGCGGCGAACCTGGCTAGCGCCCTTTGACCCGGCTTATCAGTTCGGATAAGCTTGGGTATCCTGGAACTACCGGACAGCCGAGAACGGACATTCTAGTGGTGGATCCCGTACAGTGAAGAAGGCAGTGTTGGTGTCCAGTAGAGACGGACGGCGTACGTGGGTGGTACAGAGAAGTGTACGGTGTCGTGTGATATTGGTGCTCAAGGAGTGAGTGTCGGCATTCAAGTTGGGTAGTGAGTCAGTAACCCACTTGTGGTGAGTGGACGACGTTTTATTATATTTTGGTTTAAGAGAGTTAGAGAGTTAGAGTTGTAACCGTGCTGGTCAAAGCCTGTCAGTAGTTAGGATTTATATTAGTCAGGAATAATATTAAAGTGTATTCCTGACGGTTCTGGGCAGGTGCTGGAGCGCAAATAATATAATTTATTGACTGTAGTAGTTATTATTTTGCGTTGTACCAAGAGTTAGTTATATTACTAATAACTCTGAGGCCCGACAAACCTAGGCTGCACGATTTAGCGTGCGTAGTTGGAAACACGTGGCCAGTAGGCTAGTAGCTAATATTATTGGCCTATTAACAGAAGCCCAGCTAAGTAACATAAAGTCGGTAGTAGCAGTAGCAGTAGTAGGGTTGTTATTGTTTATTCATTTGATTATTTTAATTTAACCTGAACAGCTTGTTTGGTAGTCCAACACGTTATCTTGGTAGCTTGGATAGCGGAGTACCGGCTATCAGATAATATATTTATCTATAGTGTTTGGAGTATTTAATATTTATTTATCTGCTACTAAGTAGCTCAATATTTTAATAGCGCAATTGCTATTTAGTTTTGCTTGTTTGGCTTGGTATTTATTGAGACCAGCTACTGGTGTTGTAGTCACTCTACCTATAGTGCACTTGTATTGTTATCTGGTATTTTTATTGAGTGAACTGTTTGATTCTTAGCTTGGGCATTAGAGTTGTGTATTGGATTATAGTGGCCTAGTAGACCCCGCCTGGTGATAACACGCGTTGTGGTTTTTATTGGCAAGTCGTCGTGTAACTCACTGTGTTTTAGGCACTCTGGGCTTGACTATTGGATAGTTAGGACGAAGCCCGAGTTGCGTAGTCAGCAACGACCCCCTAGGAGTGTGGAGAATCGGCGTAGGCCTGGTAGTGATTATTGCACGTTTGTTTTGGTGACTGGTTTTTGACTTGTTCACAGTGCCCGTGTATGAGCCAGTCCTATACCGGTTAGACCCGGCTATTGGCCTAGTGGTTTCCCTGACCTTGTCGCAGACCCTGGAACTTTACCCAGCCATTGTAGGCTGAGCTATCCCCGGCAAACGGTTGCGACTGCGACTGCACTTTTAATATTTATTTTTCCAGTGCAGAAAAGCAGCGTCGCATGTTCCTTACTTCATCCACTATTCTATTATTCTTGGCAGTCCCTAACATTATGAGACAATTAGTCTTGTCATGGTATTCAAAATATTGTGAAAAAAAATTTACAGTCCTACCAAGTATAAATTATGTTATCCGATTAGATTTCTATGGTCTCAGTTGTCAATCAATATTGAAGTCCATCCCCAGTTGGTAGACAAGAATGTATGTAATGTTTTTGTATGTAGAAAATGTGTGCAAGGGGTGAAGGGAGTTTGGAATGGTCTTTAACACCCACAAAGGGTACAGCATTTTTCATTGTGAAGACTAACTGCTGTATTTTTTAGTCTTGTTTAAAGCAGTAACCAAAGTTAGAAAAATAATTTTGCATGTAGATCGTGGTGTGACTAAACGAGAGGGATTATTGTAGTGATAGGAGATGACTCTAAAAAAAAGCTATCAAGGAATACGGTCAGCCCTGGATGTCTAAAACACCCCAACGGCCAACAAGCAAGCAAAGTTTCCTCAAATCCAATGGAAACTGATAAACACCCAATGCCAGCCCTGATGTACAAATATGTAAAAACTTCCAAAACCACAAATAGACATTTTCTACGCCAGAACACTTTTCTACATACACATCCTCTTGAAACAAAATCACGAGCGTGGTTCATACTTGGGAGGAGCATCAATTTTCTTCCAAAGCTTGTCTGCAGACTGGTCTGTAAGGGGTGAGGACCGGCTAGAGTAGAAGTGGATGAAGTAAGGAACACAACGTTGCTTGGCTGCAACGGGAGCTTAATGAAGAATGAAGACGTTAATTTACGTCCCTCTTATATGTATTTTGCCCCTTCAAAACAGCTAAGACAACATTTAAAAAATTCCTTATTCTCACTATTTCTAATAAATTTTATATGTCATATCAGGGAACAGCGGTGGATTTACCTCTTTGAAAATGTTCAACGTAAAACCTAATACTTAATTATTCATGATTTAGGTTGTTATTGTTTTAAAAGTTAAATAGAAGTAATAGTAAAATTTTATAAGGCAATATGTATTGTGCATGGTAAAATCCATGCATTAGGCTATTTTTTTATGACACTAGAAATACTAAAACTCTTACACAGAATGACTACAATTATTTCAGAGATGGGAAAAATATTCAATATGAATGAGAATGGCAACAACTACTAACCTCGTTAACCTTTTTATCGCTGCTTAAATTAAAATGGAAATAATAATATAAATACACACAGCAACTTGTTACGAGCAGGTTTCCACGACGGATGGCAGTCCTCACTGTCTGTGCTTTTCTTGCGAGCAAACCCAAGTCTACAGTAGAGCGAGACGGCGTTCTTGACCAGCTGGGAGTCTATTTGTAGAACGTTAGCCAGCTACAAGACAACAGCTGCTTTAAATACATCACCACCTGATCATTACGATCTGTGACCAAAACAAGTAAGCTAAAGCTGCTATTATTATTTTTCTTTGCTTTGTAACGTTTTAAATTAAATTATAATTTACCCATGTACAGAAAATGTTATTACAAAATATTTTGTACTAGCTCAGCCTGTTTGAAATGTTAATAGACTAGACAATTCATAATTTTTAATTTGATACTGTTGATGGTTTGTTATAAAATGACTTTATTGTAATTCTAATAATTTTGTTGATCTTAGTGGTGATTGATTGAAATGGGGCGGACCTAGTCACCTCTGCTCTCTGCTTAACTGATGTTTCAGAAAGTATAGAAACAATTTTCAGTAGACTCCTGATTTAAACATAACCTCACAGTCTGGTTTTGTCCTTGGCCAGCCTCGCATGCTTGTATTTAATTTTGTAAATATAAATGTTCCCATAATGTTCATTTGTGAAGTATTTTTGACAACGACAAGTGCAAGAAGATATGTTTAACAATTGGCAACTGAAGAGAAAGATTGAAAATGGGGTTTTAACCCCAAAACTACAAATCTACAACAAATATAGGATTGATTGACGACTTGTTAGTAACCTCAATTTAGGTCTTGTTTCAACCTGCAGAGACAAATTGTTCTTTTATACAGTCTTGACTGATACAACTTTTATTTCCAAAAAACCCTAACTAACATCAAGGAACAAAATCTGTAATAAAAACATTTTCAGGAAATTTTGCAATAATAATGTATTTATTTTACTTTAACAATCGTTCAATCAAAAGCTTCTTTGTATTCCTTGTAAAAGTCTATATGTATGTGCCAACATTATTTTGTACTTGTAGAACTACAAGCAGAATTTTTTGATACCATAAAATTGTTTGAATGGAACTTTGATAAGCAGTTTAAACTTTTTAAATCTGTGTAGTGACCAACTTAAGAATCGACCATACCTCTCCCACACTCGTGTGTTCATCAATTGACACAAAGATCTTGTACAAAAGAGTTTCAAAGTAGTCTCCCAAGACTCTGTTCATTACGAAGCCTTCAAGCGGAGGTACCACAATGTAATTGGAATCTTCTATAGGCACTTCTAAGTATACCAGTCCTTTCCTAAAACATATTTCGAACATATTTAGGAAAATAAATTATTTAGTTATCCAGATCCACCTATCAATTAGTTAAACAGAAATTGTGATTATTGTAAATTGGACATTAGCATATAATTGATCTTGATGAACCTGCCACAAAATCTGCCACATTGTTGTTAGAACGTGAACGTGATTCAAGCATTTACAAATATTGCTTTAACATAATTCTAACTGCAGCACTTAAAACTAATTAACCAAAAATTACTAAGTAATTTCTGAGACATCTAAATAGAGACTTGAATATACTTTTAAGTCCTAAAATTAATTAGTTGAAAACATGAAAAACTCTTAAAATTACAGATACGGTAGGTACATTTTTTATGTTATAATTTCATGTCTTTAAAAAGGGTGAAAACACTAAACAATTAAACTTGGATACAAATATCCCCTGGAAAAGGGAGTTAAAAATATGTACGCATAGTGATTGCTTTAAATTTAATTGTTTACGTAAATTAAATACTTACTTGTATAGAGAATGAACTAGCTCTTTGTTAAGATCTCCAGCTCTTTGTTTTCCATGGTCTATTATTCTATCAATCAACTCTTTCTCCGGGTTTGATACAAGCTGTGAAACAATTAGCAAAGTTAATTAGTAATTTGTCAATTTAAATACATTGTTTAAGACTATCCAATAACTATTATGTGTAAAAAATCAATGAAAAAATTATTGGGAATTCAAGGTAGTGATAAAAACATGTGTTTTCCCAATTCCAAAATAGGGTAGGGTTTCTCCAATTGATTTTACAACTGGACGACGATGTATTTTACTTTGAGGCTAATGCTTTATGGCTTACAACAAAATCAGTATCGTCACATTCTAGCCACAGCTTGAATTACTGGCGGTCAACAATGGAAAAGCAGAGTGATTTATTCCCCCCTTAAAAGAAATACTGTAGAACTAGAGTCTGAATTATTATTACAACATAAGGTATAAACTTCTAGTCATAAAGGACGATTCTCTCTTTATAAAATTGAAAAGCTTAGTTTAGAAAGGGAAAAAGATCCTAGAACTTTCTCTCCCTCTCGAGAAGAGATATTTGTTATGTATCAAGAAATAAGTCCATGTGTTTTATTTATAACATCTGTCAGATGACTGTTTATATTTTTTTTGTTTAATTTTTAGTTTAGTCTGATTTGTGAGTTCAATAAATTCAGTTTTGTTAATTATTATGTTTCAATTTACTAAACTGGCGACGAGGATGGGATTGGATAATGGATCTCAATAAACCTGATCGTTTTGACCCCCATACGAATCCTGCAAGTGTCGCACAGCGTTGGGGTACGTGGATTAAGCAATGTGAGAGGTATGCTTTAGCTGCAAACATTATCAATGATGTAAGGAAAACTGCACTACTACTTAATCTAGCTGGTGAGGATGTAGCTTACATTTGTGACAGTTTACCACAACCTAATGAAATAACGTACAAAAATGTTATAAAACTATTAACTGACTATTTCGCTCCTACCAAAAATGTCCTTTTTGAAATATTTAATTTTAGGAAGTGTCATCAAGCAGAATCAGAGTCGTTTAACTCTTTCTATTCTCGACTAAGAACATTAGCTGTGAACTGTGAATTCAAAGACTTGGATAGGGAATTAATTATGATGAGAACACCAGACGTACAACCAATGCGACCATCAGTGATGCAACAATCTCGCAATTCCTTTAGTGGTATAGAAGGTTCAATTAACCCTCATCAAGAAGATGCTGGTTTCAACGTTTCTGGTTTAATTCAAGACTCCACTAGCATGAGCACGAGTCCACAACCTGTTCGGACACGTGTCTTTAGATCAAACTCCCAAAACACTTCAATGAGCATGAGTCCTCGACCTGTTCGTATCCGTCGACCACCAGCATATCTGAAGGACTACCTAACGGGGGGAGGAGTGTTATGTATCAAGAAATAAGTCCATGTGTTTTATTTATAACATCTGTCCGATGACTGTTTATATTATTATATTTTGTTAACTTTTTAGTTTAGTCTGATTTGTGAGTTCAATAAATTCAGTTCTGTTAATTATGTTTCAATTTACTAAAATATTTAAAATTTTTAACAGTTCTTGATTGCAAAACCTTTTTATGGAGCGGGAGATAATAAGGGCAATAAATTTGTATGCAAAATTTTACCAAGGGAAATAAATTTGTATACACATTTTTATTTGTGTTTGACTAACTCATATAGATTTTTTTAATAGTTTGACCACTTCAATACGTCTAGTTTATAAGTTATTCAGTCCAACTGAAGCCTGATTCCTAATTGTATTTACTTACTATCATATAAAATAAAATATGACAAATAAAACTTAAGCTAGGGCCTACACAAAACAATATACCTTGATATCTTCCTCCACAATACATCCTGCAGCTATCAACCACCAGGGCTCGATGTTGACATCAACGGGTTTTGAAGGCAACAAATCTCTCACATTCTTTCTCCTGAACAGTTTACGCCCACTTCTGCACTGATTCATCAGGTCTATGTATTCGTTACGTCCAATCCCCAATAGTCTGAGACCTTAAGTGAAAAAATTAGTTCACTTTTAGGTTGGTCAAAACTTGTACCTAAATGACTAAAAGGTTGCAAACATCTCAAACAACAAAACACAGTCTGTAGGCTAACACAAATAGAACACACAACACAAATAGAATAACACAACAACACAAATAGAAGATCACATAACACTGATATTTTGTCCTAATATAGGAGCTTTTTTCAGAGAGTAGATTCATAATCTAGAGTTGAAGAATCATTATTTTGAAGGATAATAGTTTATGTGTGTTATGTGTGTGTTTGTGTACCTGACAAGTCCTGTGCAAACAGACAACAATGAGAGAGCTCACTAAAATTACCCATTAAAATACTTCCAAGATTAGTTTATGCTTCCAGTTTACTTTAGTATTTAGCAGAAAATGTGATTTTCCTCTTCTACTTATACACATAATGTCTTGAAATTCCTTCTTATATTTCACAACAAAGAGGAATCCACATGCCAAAAATTCTTGTTAACATGAATAACAGTGAGTTAGTATTTTGCACACCAGAGTTAGGTGAAACTTGTCAACTGCGCTAACAGCTTCTACTTTCAGTCTATTGTCTACACACATAATTACATTGGCGTAACTAGGATGAACCTAAGGGGGGGTTCCCAGGCCCTCCCCCGGGAAATTTTGTAAATTAGGTTTGTAAACTCGTGATTTAGGCTATTTAGAGACATATAAAAGACATTTTTTAATCGTAGAAAAATCTTGCTTTAATGTCAATGGGGGGGTTCAAACTCCTAAAACTCCCCTGGATACACCACTATAAACACAGTCAGTGAATCATACTTCAAGCTATTTTTTTGATTAGTGGAAAAATTAAACACACTAATTTTATTCAAGGGATTATTAATATAAAACAAATTTACTTTTAGTGGATGAGAGTCACATTTCCAGTCACCATTACTTCAAGCACTTCCCGTACAGAAACGTGATCTCATCTAGCCCGACCCACCATCTAAAGCAGACGTATCCATTGAGTTCACCTACATTTATTTGTGCTGTATAATGTTTTCTTTCAAGATTTTTTGTTTCCTGTTTTAACTACTTTTGTCCTCTTAGTGGTCTTTCTTTTGCGATTTACCAGCGTCAGCTAGGTCTGTGTACTAACCCTGTTAGTTCTTATGTTAAAGGTAGGTAATTTCTCACCTTAAGACAAGAGGAGAGTTTAGACTTTGTATTTTCACTAATACTAATGGTGATGGGAAATGTCTGCAATAATCCCTTAAACAAGATAAACTCGCCAAAATGAACTTAAAACAAGGAAATACTCACAATCAGCCGCAGTAAAGTTGGGTAACGAGTCGTAGCTGCGTTCCTGGTCCATGATGGCTTCCAGCACGCTCGTGTAGTACTGGAACGGAGTGACTCGCAGCCCTTCCACCATGATGTCACTCAGGTGATAGGGGTAGAGCAACAGTCCCGTGCGTGAGTACGACAACACCTCCTCGTAGTAGCGGCGTTCATCCTTCCTCACCAGCCGAACTGTGCACACATTGACTACATTGTAGTGTGTTTGGTGTACCAAAAGGTTTGTCATTGATACTTTAAATGCTTTGCAATGATTTCACCTTTAAGGGACAATATATTATCCGGGGTGTCCTCGCAAAAATATTTTCAAAATTCAGGATTACTTATACAGTTTGCATTTTAAAGACTTTTAAGATAAGTTTTAAATTTTTTTAAGAAACTACATTGTGGTATTTTTTTAATCTCTTCTGACATTGCCTGAAAAAATATAGCCTATCACTTAAATAATAAACTATCACTAAACTGATCCAACATAGCCTATGTCTAATCCTAACACCCTAACATCCTAACACACTAGGGATTAGACATATGTGTTTTGTAACACATGAGTCTTTAAAACAACACATTTTGAAGTTTAGTGGTAAAATCCATAGACTTCAAACTGTGGTGATGTTTTACAACATGAAATGCAGAAAAAGTTCCTTTAGCAGCATGAGTGTTAAATGGATAACTTTAGAGTTGAGTTTAAAAAATATATATATAAAACTGTCAATTTTGGAGGACGATGCAACAGTTGGAGTTGTGTTTTGTTGATTTTTTCCGTAGAACAATTAAACTTTTCTTTGAACTTGTTTGTAATTGCGCAATTTTCTTTTCGGCATTAATAGGGACAATGAAAGTTCAAGACGGACAAAACAAGAAGTAAAGAAGTATTTTAATGTGTGTAGCTGACAAGAAGCTATAGCCAGTCAGCTAGTCGTTCGTCTTGGGTAGTGAGCAGAGGCATAGCCAGTAATGCTGGATAAATGTTAGGCTACCAATGAGCCGTCTCTAGCGTACGTCTCTAGCGTACGTCTCTAGCATTTAACATGTACATTTTGACCCAAAAAGGAAACTAAATTAATATACATTATTATTACTGTGTGTGCAGAAATAATTTTTAATACAAGTCAAAATCGTGGACATTTTAAGGTTTTGCCAAAAATCCCACTGGAAGTTTTTATGTACCCAAAAAGAGTCCGACGTGTCCGAGGAAATGAAAACATCTGGGATCCCTGATACTTCTCAACTTCATATACAAAACTACTACTGTAGGCCCTACCTAAGCATGTACGAATAGTACCTTTGGTAAAAAGCAAAAGATCAAGTTTAACGGTTATAGTAAGTTACTACTTACCTAAATTTCCTTTATATCTCAATTGGTTTTTCACGCTAAAATTCACTATGTGTTTTTCATACTCCTTCTGTGAATTACCCAAACTCTGGAAAAGAGTAAGTAATCAAAATAATAAACAACTAAACTTATGTTTTGAATATTTCAATTATTTAACTAGCCTAAGTAAGTTTAACACAAAAACACTATGGAATATTGTGTAAGACTATTAAATTTTTAATTTAGCGACACTGATAGTGACAGTAATTTTTCTTTTTGTTTTGTGTTGCCTTAAGTTCTTGATGATTTTGTTTCCTCCCATCTCTTCATTAGTTTTCTCAGGAGGGATGTAAAAATGGTCTTTTGTAACATGTACAACATTAGACTAGGGTTGCCATATCCCCGGATTTTGACGTTCAAAATTTAGCTCCGAGGAATTTCTGCAAAAAATCGAAATCTCCTCTTTTTACTCCCAATTTGTTATATAACGGCACTTTTGGGATAAAATAAATGTTTGTGTTCGCAAATATTGTTATGAAATAACTGAAAAATGCAACTCTCGTACTTTCTACTAACGTTTTTTTTATCCTTGGTTTAACTTTGGCCAGCAACATCCTTAGTTTATCGTCTGTTTTTATTTCTCCCAGTCCTTCAATTTGCGTCTGCCGGCCAGTCTAAAGGTATCTGTGTTCACAACCAAAGCCTAGCAGACAGAGAGCGTTTTTTTTGTGACAAGCGATGCAACATTTTACCATTGACATGTACCATGTACCATTGACAATGTCTCGAATATTGAACAGAAATGGTATAGACTAATAAATATAAACAAAATACGTCACTGGCCCGAATGTCTAAAGGCTAATAGCGGTAACAACTGGTTTGGATATTTTTTGACAGTTCCAAGTTTTAATAAGAAGTTTTAAATAATAAGAAAAACCTGTATACTTTCGAGCCAGTGACATCATTTTTATTATGTTTAGGTTTATGACCCATACAGTTTCTGTTATAATACCTACCTATTTTTGCTATGTACTAGGTTTACAATTAAATTGCTAGCTCGCTAATTTTTATCCACTGTTATAATGGAGGCCACCAGCTAAAATCTCCTCTTTCTTACACATTACTATATGGCAACCCTACATTAGATAAAAGTAAGTAAGGTTACTGTAATTAGATTTGTCCTATCTAGAATACATTACATCTTGATAACTTCCGTACCTATTTTACGTAAAATGTCATCAAAAGGTGCTGCCTAGAAGACCACTGAGTAACTTCAGTCTATAACCTTTGACTTAGCATACTACTACAGAACATATAGCCTAGTCCGTTTACAAAATTTGTTTGTAGGCGAACTAATTTTGATAAATATGCATTTTAGGGTTTGCAACAGATTGTTGAATTTTTTTTAAAATTCTATTCGATATTCAATGCTGATTCCGAAAATTATGCCATTTTTTCAGGGTTATGGTCGTTTCCCGTTGAAAATGAGGATCTTTTTCCACAGAAAACGGCCATGTTTTTAAAATCGGGTGCAAACCCTAAAATGCATATTTATCAAAATGATTTAGGCCACGAACAAATTTTGTGAACAGACTAGGCTAAAATGTTCTGTAGTAGCATAACTTATTAAAAAGTTTTAACCCTAATTTTTGTTACTCACATATTTTAAGTTAAGTTAATGATGCCAAAAGTCAAAGGTTATTAGCCTATTTTAACTAGAGCATCATTTAACTTCCTATTGATCAAGATAGTAAGAAAAACTAAAAGAGAAAATATAAAATAAGAAGAGAAAATACACGTTGTTCAGAAAGTAACCTCGTCTTGGTCATTGTGCGGGAAATAAATTAATAATTGGGGATAGGGGGGCCATTTGTGTACAGGAAAGTGTTGCAGGTCTAACTAGTTTAGTAGGTGTGTAACTTAGTTTGAAAGGTCAAGGAATTCTTATTCACATTTTACAACAACTCAAAATGTGAGACACAATATCAAATCCTGCCTAGTGTGAGAAGCGAGTCGTTAAGGTTTTTAGATGTCAAAAAGTATTCGGCCGCAGCTATTAATGGGACTATGAGAGGTGAATCAGAATCAGAATAGTTTCAGAATCAGAATAGCTCCAGAATCAGAATCAGAATAGTTTCAGAATCAGAATAGTTTCAGAATCAGAATAGCCTAGTTGTATTGCAATAGCCTAATACAAAAATTTACAGGGCAAAAGTCACTAAAAGTAAACAAGTAAAATCAGACCCATTAAAATAAAGATACAAACTTCAAAAGGTACAAACTATTTACATTTAAAAAACGATTTGAACCACTGTAAAACTCCTTATCAACTAAATATTCCTTCAAACCATTTTTTAAATCATTTTCGGCTTTAATTGCATTAGGAAGAGTCAAAAGACTGGTCACATGGAGAAAGACTGGTTCTTATGAAAAGTGGTACGAGATAGTGGAATAGGTAGGTCAAAGTTCCTTCTAAGATTGAAGCTGTGGTGAGACTCTCTAATATGAAACATTGTAGAATTTTTTTTAAGAAGGGCAAAGATTCGAAAATGAAAATTGATGGGAAGGTCAGCATATTATTTCTACAAAAAATGGATATAGGCCCTACAAGACTCTCTATATTTTAGGTTGAAGAGTAATCTGATGGCTCTTTATTTTAGTTTGAATATTTTCTTAGTTTGAAGTTTGTCGTTACCTAAACGGGCACACAATATGTAAGAAAGGATAGACAAGACCGTAATAAGCTGTCAGAAGGACACGTCTGTCTTGATATTAGGAGAGCCTACGAAGAAAGAAAGCACTAGTACTAAGCCTATTGTGAATTTTGTCGATATGGCTGGAAAACTTTAGATTGCTGTCAATGACTACTTCTAAATATGTTACACTAGAAGATGAAGCAATGTTGATGTTGTTGACAGGTAAATTTAAAGATTCAGATGGGGGGTTTAAAGATCAGGAATCGATGTAAGGGACTTCAACAACTCGCCTCCATCCCAGAAGAAGGTTGTGATCAACATCAAAAGCTTTTGTAAGGTCAAGGAACAAACCGGAGACATGGTTCTTGGCGTCAAGAGAGTTGGAAACCTCTGTAACCAGGCTGAACACAGCATTTATGGTGGAGTAACCTGAACGGAACTCAAACTGATTTTTGCTTATTATCTTAGTTTTGTCTAGGAATTGATTTAATCTAGGTAAGATCTTCTCTGTTACTTTATAAAAAGTTGATAATATAAACTTTGAGGTTGGCCTGAAGTTATTGCAATCGTGCCGACTTCCTCTTTTCTTATATATGCTTTAATATTACTGCAGGAAATGTTCCTCTCTGAAATAAACAAGAATGGACCTACTCTGTGATGAGCGAAGAAGTTGGTGAGGATGGGTTTGTCTTAACGCAGAGGATACGCGTCCGTTAACCGAACATGGATCAGGCGTCCAGCAGTGACGTCACCAAGTTGTGGGGGCCCGGAACACCATTACCACAACGATACGATATACAGCCATCGGAGTTTGTGGTGTAGTGAATACTTAGAACAGAACAACTAAATTATAGACTGTGCTAAGTTAGGTCAATTCTTTTGAGACTCACAATCCATCTTTCACTGCCATAACAAGCTTCCTAATAAACTGGGATTGGGATTATTTGTGTCCAGATGAAATAAGTTAACTAAATTTAATAATGTTTATAATAAGGCCCAGTGGTAAAATCTTACCTGTTTAATGTTGGGTGGCAATTTTTGCCAAGGTATATTTTGTCTAATATACAGCTCGACATCGTTATTCATACCTCTGAATGTATTATCCCTTGTACTTTGGTAATTACAAGTAAACACTGTAAAATAAATTACAGTTTAAACTTATCTTATCTAACCTAAAAGCCACATCTGAGCTAGGAAATGTCAAAATTTGGAATTATTTGCCATTTGACAGTGGGATTTGGAGTGGAGTGGAGTGGACTAGCCTAGTCTAGACACAGATAAGTGGTGACATTTCTCAGCTGCAGATCACAACGTCAGAACACGAACAACAACATAACATTAGACTCGCAGAGACAGTAGACGGATGACAGGATGATTTCTCTGCTCTATCAGGAGGACAGGACAGTACAGGGCAAAAGAAGAAAATGGACCGATTGGAACAGGGAATATGAAATTTATGTTATCAGCTGACAAAATGGACAAAATGGTAATCTCGTTCTCGTTAGTTGGAGGAGCATTGTTATGTTTAAAAGTTGGCCGTGGTTTACTCGCTATGTCGAACCGGAACCATTGTAATCTTATGCGCAATAAGCTTCGGTTGACTTGACGGGAGTTCATATGGGTACATGAACTAGAAATGAAAAACGAGCTTCAAAATTTACAATGGGATGAGAAGTCTACTTGTGTTGGTTAGTTTATGGTTTTGTTTTATTCATCAATCACGGTTTTACAAGAGGGATATTCCAGAGAGATTTGATTTTATATAGTATATAGTTACAAACTTACAAACCAACTGGCTTTGCATCAGTCCAACAGCTGAAATCTAAGTCAGCTGTCTATCTAGTTCTGCTTGGCATTTTTCTCTCTCAACTCCTAGCAGACGAAAGCCGATTTACTGTCGTCTGCTTCTGCAACCCACCACAACGCTTTGAGTTTTAAGTGGTAGTGATGGTTGTCTGTTTTGTCGAGTGTGAAAGTGTGTTGTCGGCGTTTTGACATATAAAAATGTAGTTTTGTTATGGAAAGAGGGCTTAATGCTGCCACACAGCATATTTCCTTTTTGTTATCCACCTCTAACTTGCTAAAAACTAACATTTATTATCAATAATTGTATTTTTATTTGGGAAAGAGACTGCAACCTTAGTTTTATTGATTTTCATATTGTTGTAAAACCATGAGTGATATACATGACTTGGATATGAAAATATGCTGCATCAAGCTCTCATTAGCAGCCAGAGTGATTGCCATGGTTGGTTTGGTAAGTATTAAGTTCTTATATATTTTTTTGTAAATAATGATAAGCTAGCGTAAGTCAAAATGAAGCATTTTTGTTGTTACATTCCACATGTTTGATAAAAACATTAGGCCTATTGGATTTTCAAACATGATTTTAAAAAAAACACATGGTTAAAGTGATAAACCGATTTTACCACTTCAACATCGTAATTATGTAAGTAGGCCTAATAAGATTTTCTTCTTACATGAAAGCCACAATCGATAATACACACAATAACACTTAACACAAGTCAGGCGAAATGAAATGGCCATCAAAATATAATACTGTAGGCCTACCCATTTCTCATAACATTAACTTATACTCATTAGGCTTATCGTTAAAACAAATTGACTCTAATAAAAACCTGCATACGGTATCACTCATTTCCACTCACTCATAACAACACACCAGAATCAATGCAGATGCTCGTTGTTATTAATTTGGGATTGATGTAGGCTATTCATAAAAACACAAGCTCAGAGTATATCTCTTAGATATAACTAGAGGTAACACGTACTGTAAATCAAATAAATTCTAGCATTTGCAGTAAAATAATTTATCATCACACTATAATTCTTGTACCACCTTGGGAGAGCAAATTTGATGTGAAAATCTATGATTGTAACAATCATAGAAGGCCGCCAAACCTCTTCAAGAAATTGGCAAAGTAGTGTAGGTAGGCCTACGGTACATATTTAAATAAATCCAAACATCAATGGCTGATGATGGGCTCAGTAACTTACTGAATTAGAGAAGCCTGGTCCTTTTGAATCAGAATCTGACCATCTTGGCTACCAGAAGTAGTCGAAACGACCATGGTAGAGCTCAAAATCACTTGGACATGCCCCATTGCCATCTCAGTCTAACGCATAAGAGCTACTCACTCTGCTATTAAGATCTACAACACCTTGCCAGAAAGAGTCAAGAGTCCTAGACCTAAGGGTTTAAAAACGATGCTGTGTAACTCTCTTTTGCAAAGGCCACTTTATAGCGTACGGCAGCCAGTAGAGAAACTTCTCATGCCAGGATTAAACGTGTTTCCGCTACAACCTCAGTTAGTTTTTCAAGTTTAAACATATGTTGTATTGTTAATGTATGTAGCCTATAAATAGCCTAATATTGGAGCTATCTATCCGAAATCTTGGTTAAAGATAAAGAAGACAAGTAGGCCTAAATAAGTAATTGTTGAAGTAACTTAGCTTAAGTCAGTCTGTTGTAATTTTACTGGTATCAACATATTCATGCTGCTGCCAAAGAAAAATTGTCATAACTTAAACCTAACCTACGGTTGCTACGCGGTGAAAATCATACACGGTTGGTAATCGTATAATGTGAAAGGGGCCATAAGCTCCAATGGTCGACTACAAATACTATCAATAACCGCGCGAGCGAAATCGTATAGTGTGAAAGGAGCGTAAGCAAATTTTCATTTGCCTCGCTGGAATTCCACTAACTTATTCCCTTTAAAATTGTCAGCTTTATTTCCTATTTAAATATCATTAATTTTTATGAGTATACACAGTGGCGGATCCAGATGGGGGCGAAGGGGGTGGCCGCCCCCCCCCCTCAGGCATACGGTATAGTTTTTTTACTGCATGTAATACACTCCCCCCAGACCCCCTAATTTGCCCCCCCTCCTTGTGACTGTTCTAGACCTGCCACTGTGAGTACTTAGGTTTGCTGCTACAGGGAAGACAACAAGGTGTGTTTTTATTGCAACATTGATATTTAGCTTAGTATAAAGTAAAGAAATTTTCCAAATTTCATAAGATATTTCCAGATGGGCAAGCTACAACAGTTTATTTATTCTCCATAAAAATAACCTAGTAATTTTAAATTCACACTTTTTTGGATTTTTTTCGTTACCGTTAGGCACACAACAATGCCTCAATATACCTACTAAATTATTTGTTTTTTAGAGATCTACGACCTGAAAAGAAATTAGTAAATGTTATGCTTTTAGGGTCAAAAATGGGACAACCCCATTTACCCCATAAAAGCCCCCCATAAACCCCCGTTTCCATAGTCCGATCATGCTGGTTCGCAAACTCGTTTGAATAAATATAGGTTTAGGCCTATACAAAATTTCATCAAAATCAGATGATTTTTGCTCCAGTTATCGTACTAATGGACACATATTTAAATATATATACCTACATATGAATTTGAACGGTTCTTTTTTTTGGCCTCTGAGGACCTCAAAACAAACAAGTAAATGGGTCCTGGGTCCAGGTCTTACCATGAGACATATGGTAATAGCTTATTAATATGGGAAATTTGCTAAAAAAGGATGATAGAAAAAATATTTCTCTATGGAATTTAGTTCAGAACTTCTGCTTATTATCTTTGTGCTAATATTTTTTTTCTTTTCCAAAGCAAAGCATAGAATATAGATACTCCCTTATATAAACCGGAACCTCAATAACAAGCCCCTCAATACAAAAGTAAAGTACTCTTGAAAACAAGCGTATGTATTTTCAAACACCCTTGTGTTCCCACTGTTAAGGGATCCAAACTTCAACTCAGTTAGATTAACGTTAACCTTTAACCTCAGACAGTAATATTTTCTGCTCTCGAACCTTGTGCAAATGCCAAATGGCAATATGGCACATTAACTCGAAATTATTTTTTTTATCATTAAAATTAAAAGGACACTTCCTATAGTGCTTGTTGTAAATCTTTTGAAAACCAAAATGTAGACAATAGTATACCAAACAAGACCAAGACCAGGGTTTGCAAACCGCTTCATTTTTAACCGAAAAACTCCAACAGCGCAGAAAAAAAATACATCTCTCCTTTGTCTTTCTGTCTTCTTACTGACATCTTAGGGACGCTCCCTCGTGGTTTGGATCGTAGATGGCCGATGGGTACGCAGGTTTGCTGTACCGTGGAGGTCTGGGCCTGGGTCGTGTATTTATACCCAAGGGCAAGGGTCGCGTGCCAGCTCAGCCTATCTGCATTAAGTTGATTATCATCATGGGAGTTATTGGCTTAGAATGTTACGTCACCACCCTACCTTCGCGGCATCGACCTTAATCGTGTTCTAACTTGTCTGTACAAACATCCTAGTGAAAAACATGTGCAATTGTTGAAATTTACAGTGGAATCTCGATAACAAGTCATCCTTGATAACAAATGTTATTTTAGAATCCCTTTGAACCCCTAACCACATGTTATTCCAAACCTCGATAAGAAGTCAATTTAATAAGTCATAATCCCCTTGAGAGTCTTATAATCGAGGTTCTTCTGTACTATAAAAAAAGTTTGTAATTACTTCAGTACAACATCGTAATTTTTTTCGAAAAAGCCTAATAGGCTACCTACTTTAAAGACATTGACTAACTAGCTTTTGGTTTTATAATGACGTCACACACGTTGAGGATGAAATTTAAAACTCAAACTACGTCACTCAAGAAAAACTTTTTTACCTGTTGAAAATTTAAACCAAATCCTGTAATACTGGTACAGTATTAGGTTACATTTCATGTCTATTTCTGCCATTTTTATTTTTATTTGTTATTGTTATATATTTTTATTTGTTTGTAACTAACATTTTTAGACATTTTAATTATAATTAATTGTTCCCTTGTAGTGCTTGTAGAGTTTAATTGTTTACTACCTCGCTAAAATGTGCTAATTTTGTATTCAGAAATCCAGACATCTTGTAAACACCATTTGTTAGTTTATTGTTGATTTGTGGCTAATTACTTGCATGGACGGTTTAATTTTAGAACACTACGATATTTTAGCGAATTTCCCATATAGGGAATAAGCTATTACCGTAGTACTCATGCTAAGACCTGGACGCGGGACCGATTTTGAGGCCAAAAACACCATCCGTTCAAATTCATATATATATATATTTATACATTTATATATATATATATATATATATATATATATATATATATGTGTGTGTGTGTGTGTGTGTGTGTCCGTTAGCACGATAAATCGAGCAAAAATGATCCGATTTTGATGAAATTTGGTACAAACGTGTAAACCTGCGTTTATTCGAATTTTACGTTTATTCGCGATCCAGCATGATCGGACCATGGGAACGGGGGTTTATGGGGGGTTTTATGGGGTAAAAATAGGTTTTTCCTATTTTTGACCCAAAAAACATAAAATTTAGCAATTTCTTTCCAAACCATTTTGTAGAGCTTAAAAAAACAAATAATTTAGTACATTGAAGCGTTATTATGCGCCTAATGGTTACGGAGAAAATTCAAAAAAATTGTAAATTTAAAATTTCCATGTCATTCTTATGGAGAATAAGTAAATTGTTGTAGTTTGCTTGTTTATGAACATATTTTGATCAAATTTGGAAAATGTTTTTATTTCTTACTAACTATTAACATTTTACAAAAAAAAAACTGTTTTACCCTCCCTGATGCAGCAAACCTAAGTACTAGTTAAACTAATTCTATTTAAATAGAGAATAAATGTTATATTTTTAAGTAGACATTTCAGTGTAAATCCAATCAGTCAAATGGAAATTCGCTTAGTCTGCAGGTTTGCTGCGGCGGGGGTATTTTACTCTATTAAAGCTACAACCGAATTTTTACAATACAATTTGGACTCCTTCACGATTTTGAAACCCAAAAAATGTTGGAAACGCAGTCAATTTATTACAAATCGATGTATATCGGCGGACAATCCAGTGAATGCGAATCGAAAGTAACAATATTGTCTTCTGTCACGAACAGGAACAGTTTTATTTTTAACCTCTATTATTGTAACTTACCTCGTGTCAAAACAGAGAAATATTTTTGTTCAGTCTATTCTTGGGCGAACGGTCGATTCGTTATTTATGATGTATGTGTGGGTGTGAAGAGCGTCAAGTAAAAACAATCTTCCGTCTTGTAGCCAAATTAGTTTTTCCTACAGTTACCTAACAATGTACGTGTTCTCCCACTGATTTGAGAAAGCAATGTGGCCAATTCGCTCATCAGTGAGACAATGTTAACATTGTCTCACTCTAA